ACAATATCTCTTAATTCCATTTTTAAAATAGCCCCACTTATGTGTCAACCTATTTGTGTGACATGACTATTATATAGATTTATAGGATTGTTTTTCATGATTATAGTGTATTTATAGAAAATTAAATTAATGTCAACAATTTGTTGAGGTATAATCTTCAATCAAAAAGTCGGGAGTTTGAATTTTCACTTCATATATTGTTGAACTAAAATAGTTTTCTTTATTTTATAAAATCTATCTAAAGTTTCTGATAATTGAGTTGGTTACATAAATGGGGTTATAAATGAGTTTTTTTTTACTATTTTTCTAATTCAAGACATGGATGATTCTATCTAAGAGGAATTATTTTAGTTATGCATATTGTTTTAATTATTATTATTAATTCAAGTGAAGAAACAAACAAAAAAAAATTCCTAAAAAAAAGTGAAAGGTCAAATGGTAGAAAAATGGCTGAAATATCAGACTAGAAAATTTCTTGTAATGGGCCTAAAGTAGGCCCAAAAAATGAACTCCCATCTTAAATGTCCAATCCCTCCTCTCGTTGATTCCATCAATTAAATATTTTCTTTAAAAGTATAATTTGAGCTTGGTACAACGGTATCTATTTATTTTCTTTCATGTCAGAGTTTCAAATTCTCATGTTTCATATTTATTGTACTAAAAAAATATTGAATTTTGTTAGAAATAAAAAGATGAAAGAATATTAGGATTAAAAGAGGAAAGAATATTAGGATTAGGGTTTTTTTTAATAGATAAAATAAGGATATGGAGATTCGAAATTATAATCTATTATAATCTATTTTAACGATACACTCAAATTGATTTGCATTAATATAAAGAAAGTGTCTGTTGTAGACTAGCGAAGAAAAGCGAATGAAATGTATGTATAAAGAGAAATTAATGAGAGAAAGTAACTGTAAAGAAAGAGCCAGTAACACCAATAAGAGAATGTGTAATTAAAAGTATTTTACTACCTTATTTTTTATTCTTTTTTAAAAGTACATATGGAACAATTTTTAAAGTCTAATAATCTACTTGACTTAAAATATAAATTTTTAAAAATTTAAGAATATGTTAGACGATGCAACTTCAGTGAGGTTACAAACTAAATTTATAATTTAACGTTAAAATTAATATAGTCGAAAATCATGAAAGATAGGGTCATAGGAAGGCATCTAGAAAGAAGGGTTTGAATCCTATCCTCGTGGGGCATAAAACGCAAACTTTCTTTACAAAAAGTCTTGTCCTCTTAACTTTTCTAAAAGAGGTTTTCTTCTTTCTTAATTTTTTAAAAGCTCTCCTTGTCCATCTTTTCATTCAATAGTGTAACCTTTTTTTTTCTTTTTTTAATTCAAGGAATTGAAGTGTTCGTTGATATATCCTACTTAATCTTTTGAAAAAAAATTAATATTTTTGTTTGGAACATATGTAAAACTTTTGGTCAAATTACAAAGTTACTTTTAAAAATTTTAAAAAATATATTTGTTTATAATCTTGAATTACCCCTTTTATTTATAGGTTAATATCATAGCATGTCAAATAGAGAAATTTTAGGGAATTTATAACGAGTAGCTAAAATATTTACCATAATCGGGTATAGCATTGCATTTATCATAAAAGACAGTCATTTGAAATTAAATATTTGAATAACACAACATAATTTAGAAACTGAACATAATAGATAAAATATCCTTGGTATATCAACACTTATGATCAAGCATATCAATAACATATCATTGTTCGGACTCCATGTTAATTACGACGAGCTCCTTGGAACCAAACGAGCCACCAACGAGATATTTATGGATAGAATCATAATTCAAAATTTAAAGTTTTATACAACAAGGAATTTCTAAAAGAAAAAAAGAGTTGCAAATTATACATTTTGGATCAATTAACCAACCCACAAAATTTCAATAAGTGGCCACTAAATTTTGGAATTCCCTATTAATCTCATCAGCTAACTCCACTTCCCCAAGCCTCCTTAAACCCTTGCTCAAAATCTTAACCGTGTGATCATCGGCCTTGGTGGTGGACCCCCACCCGCTCCTCCTCATCATCCGATAAATCCTGACCGTCGATTCCCTTCTGTCCCCACCAATCACCGCCCTGATCAGCTTAATCAAACCCTTATCGTCGCACTCGATCTCCCCCTCTCCCTCCAATTCGCACAACAGCCGGTCGATTTCCTCCGCCATCCCGTTCCTCGACAGCGCCGCCGCCAGCTCCGCGTACAGCCCTAAGTCGGCGCCGTACTCCGATCGGACGACGGTGAAAACCTCCAACGCGAGGCCGCACTGCTCCTGCCGGAGAAGCTCCTTCAAGGTCGCGACGAGGTCCGCTTTGAGCAATCGGGAGAGCGTGCTGGAGAGTACGTGGTGGAGCTTCGTCGGGTCGGATCTTTGGGCCCGTTTCAGAGATTGAATGGCTTGGATCGCTTCGGTGCTTAGGGTTCTGCCTTTCACCAGAGGTCCTCGGTTGTCGCGTGGCCCGCACCGCACCGGAACGGAGAAGACTACGGCGGCGACGGCGGCGGCGGACCTCGGAGTTGGGATTTCAGATTTGAGGAAGGGCGAAGGATTGGGGCGTAGAGAAGAAGCCATGGCGGAGCGCAAATGGATTGGGTGGGGGTTTTGCAATGACTGTTATACCCTTGCCGGATGTTCGGGAGTTAAACGTAACTTCGGACATGGGCCCAGCCCAGTAAAGTTCGGGCCTGTCAACTTGAACTACTATTGGGCCATTAGTTGAGCTGGGCCCAGTAACCATTCTATTGTACCAGTGTTGGAAAGAGTTGAGCCCAATTACCCGTCTGCCTGACCCTATGCTAGAGCCCCTTTAATCATAATTTTTAAGTTTAATTTATTTTAAAATTTTAAGCCTGATATTGTTTTTTTTTTTTTGTACAAAATGTAGACTATCTTTTTTGTCAGAGACAAGTGCATTAATCAGGTTTGATGTTACACTACTGAACTTTATGATTATAACCCCTTTAGTTGCACTTAAACTACTTATGAATTATTAAATGTTTTTAGTACAATATTATGAATTATTAAAGTTATTATAGTTAAAGAGTACTTTTAACCTTCTTAAAAGTTACAGGTTCAAATTCCTATGCACACATTTATTGTATTAAAAAAATATTTATAATATGAAGTTGTGCAATTATACTCAAATTGTTGTTGCAATTAAACCCAAAGAAACTATAACAATAAAGTTCAATTTGAACAATGTTGTTTTCTGTTAGGGATGCAAATTTAAACCTATGTTTTAATTAGTTCTAACTATAGTTAAGTCAAAGAAGTGAAATATTATTGTTACTTGAAGAAAGTAATTCACTTCCTAAATTAGAAGTTGGATATCATTTCAGCTGTCTCCTATAATTCAATTGGATGGTGGTTTATGTAATTTTCAAATGATTAATAATGTAATAAGACTTTATAATAAATATTCCTTGAAATGAAAAGGACAGCTCATAATAATCCACATATTGGAAAACAAACACCACAATTGTATTGTATCACATCTCCAAAGTGATCGGCCAGCTCGATCTCCAACTTTGCTTCGGATCAATTGCCATCTCATTAATCACATTTTTTGAACAATTTTTTTAAAGAAATAATGATAATAGTAGTTATCTTCATTAGGTTGGCTACGTTCCAAAATAGTAATAGGGAAGAACACATCTTATAAGAAAAAGTTAAATTTAAAACTTCTATCAATAATTTGTTTATTTCTAAAAGATTACTGACACGATTCGTGCAAAACACCTACTAATTTCGCAATGAAACACAATGATCACAGATCCCGACTAGCTACTGAGTATGTAGTTAAACTTCTTCTTTCTTCTAAAGTTGAACTATTGCGACGTTACACCCTTTCTAATCAACCAAAACGAACTAAATGTACATACAAGAAAATATGTAAAAGTGGGCAACATAAAGATTGCAGATCAAGAAAGGGGTTCATGCCAATTCTAAATAAAATAAAATAAAAAAGTTAGAAAGTAAAATTTGACGCATATAGTTTTATGACGTGGACTATGCTCACACATCCAACGACTTTCTTTTCTCTTCTAGTAAAGAATAGTTTTTAAAATCCGACTCTTTTGTTTAGACCCAAAACATCTACCTATACGAATTTGTAGGACAAGTAGTTTTCTATATTATGATATTGGTATGATACTTTGTTTATTTTGAATCTCGATTCATGCAACTTTGTAATAAAGGATTGATATTGGTCCTTCCTCTTTTTTTAAAACGACAAATAATTATAGAGGTAGGAGATTAAACTTTTGAACTCGATGAAAATAATAAGTATTTTATCTACTAAAAATTATGTTCGTATAACCAGCAAAATATACTACCTTCTAAATGAAAGGAGGGGATGCCAAATTAGTTTTATAAGATTCAGTTGAGGATTGGTGCTTTTGGGGAGCCACCAGCCGACCAGAACGTGCTGTTGGTCGAGTTATTTTATAGTGGAAAATGGATTTCCTTGGCTTTTTCACTTATTTTCTGCAATCGATGGGATTAATATGGGGGAAACGGGAATCTGAGAGGACGAAATTCTTAACAAAATTCAGATATTTTCATAGCAACGTTTTCAAGAAATTACATTTGAGTTCATATGAGATACTATTGTCTATTGTTTGATCAGAAAAATCATCAATTCCGCGAATCTCGACTCGGATCGAGAGCTGTTCGAAGAATAAGTTGGATGGGTGAACTGCAAAACATAACACACTTTGATTCTAGAGCCAATAGCTGGTCGAATTAAACTCGAGAGAGAATTTAGTATTCACGTACCTTTTAACGAAGCAAATGAGTCTTATTTATAGGCGAAATTCCTGACCATATTCCCGACAAGGCTTCAACGACTCTTTAAGGTTGTCGCGAAACTCGACGCGTTGATGTGGAGTCTGTTGGAGAAGAGCCTGAGCCGATGTGGATCAAGCGATTCAATCAATGACTTGAGAACAATATTTAATATAATTTGGTTGGCTCGGCCACCCAAGGAACTATGGACGAGGTAATGAAACGTGTGCCTTTGGAAGTATAAGCCACGTGCGCCTCATATGATCCAATTGCCTCATGCCACGTGCAAGTTGAGAAATCACTTCCAACATCTACTTTAAACTTAAACTCATGTCATTTTGCTTTGAATTTTCATGCACGAAGTCTCGTGGCAATAAATATGTCATTCTTATTTATATATTTAAGATATTCCTCAAAGTCTATTCAATTTTTTTATTTTGTTACTTTTTATTTTTACTCTATTGGTTGAAATTAATAATTTGTACATGGGAATATAGATGCATACATATACCAAATATTTCCTAGTTCAAAGTATTATTTGAAAAATACATTAAACTAACCAAAACATGATTTTATTTCAAAAAATAGTTATTCCAATAGTGCATAAATGTACCTTATCGTGTCCAAACATAGTTAGGTTAGTTAATAATCGTGATCCTTTTTTAGCATCAAAATTGGCATGACAAAAATAAAGAATCGCGGTGTAATTTATTGGTTGGCATTTATTTAAATGCACATGTGATTTATTTGAGAATTAATTTGTGGATTGAGATAGAATTGTAATCGAAAATAACAAAGGTAAAAGAAGTCGGCTCCCAAAAAATGGGATAGAATTGGAAATTTGGACACATGTATAAATGAAGCCTAAGTTTGATCTTAATAAATCTTTGTCAATCCTAATGATAGCTCCATGACTCCCTCATTTGTCCCAATCATACCCCTAGAATTCCCTATGCATGTTTTTTCTTATCTTCAATTTTGATTTCTTTTCTTCTCCTTTTTAGGTCCTCTTTTCTTCCTCTTTGATTAAGACCCAACCTCGAGCACCATTTGTTTTGTTTTGGGTGATCAAAGTTTGTTTGAAAACCATTTTTAAATTCGTTTTCGTCGTTTTTTTTCAGTACAAACATGTTTGGATAACTATTATTTAACCAGAAAAAAAATAGTGTTTCTCGCACAATTACATGATGGAGTTGTTAATTCTTCTAAAAGAACGAGTTTGTAAATAATATATTGAATTCTTAAAGGGTAAGAGTACTAAATCGTCATTCATTATTTCAAGCAATATTTCATAGGTAGAATTTATTAAAATTAAAATATAAAGTTATAAGGATATAATTCAAACTTTTAAAATTTTAAAGACTAAAATGCATTGAATATCCAAGTTTGGAAATATTAATTTAAATATTGTTTTAGTCTTTGCACTTCCCAAACATCAATTTTGTTTTTTTTTTTGTACTTTAAATTTTTGTCTATTTTAGTACTTGCATTTTAGAAATGTCTATTTCAATTCCTATATTTTTTAAAAATGATCATTTTAGTCCATGCTTTTAAAATTTTGATGCAAATACTATACCTAATGAGAACTCTTTAAAATACATAGTTATGACTATATTTTTAAATATAGTCAATATAGTCAAATCAAGCATAACTCAGCGGTAATTGATATATATTTCAAACCATGAAATTGTGAGTTGGATCTCCCATCCTCACGTGTTATACTAAATATATATATATATATATATATATATATATATATATAGTCAATATAAAGAATAGTGGCTGGACTCTCCTGAAATAACTTAATCAGTTAAAGTATATATTTTTAAGGGGCAATTGCAAATATGGCAAATATATTTAGTAAAATAAGCAAAATAGCAACCACATTAAGTTTTTTCAAATATAGCATTTTTTTTCAACAAAAAACGGATGTCCAATTTTAAATTTACAATTTTATCCTGTAATATATCTGATATACATCTGTAATATATATGCAATATATCTGACTACTGTGTATGATATACCACTGATATAATAATAATATACAATTGATTTACTTTTGATATAACTATGATATCTACTGTCTAAAATGACTTACCACTGATATACATATGATAACCATTGATTTACTATGCTAATACAACATTTATATATCGGTGATATATACTTGATATGTCTCTAATTTACCATTGATATACAAATGATATACCACTTATACAATTTCTTATGTATGATTGTGATTTTCCACTAATATAATATTGATATATATTTGATATGTACTTAATATGCTTCTAACTTGCCATTGACATACTTCTGATATAACCATGATATCTACTAATATAATTATGATACATGTGTGTTGATATAATACTATTATATCTAATGTTTTTTTTCATATGAAAACAATGGTGCAAAAAAAAATTAAATATAAAGTTATTGTATAAAATGTTTATATGGATTATGCACGTAAAAAAAAAGACAAAAAAGACAAAGTTAGAAATCTAATATACTTTATAAATTTAAACAGTTGATGTCCCATATATTTAGTATCTAATTAATATTAATATAAAATAGTAGGAGTGATATAGTAATCAATATTATTGATAATATTAATATATCAATCAACAAATTGCAATAGCAAATTAGAATTAAAACAACTGATATACCACTAAAAATTAATCATTTGATATACCTTATACTTAATATATAAGTTGCAAATATATTTAGTATATCGTAAATTAGAAGTACATTAGATATATATATTAGAGGTATAATACATACATCTGATACATCAAGAATATATTGGAAGTATATCAAAGAAACATTGGACGTATATCAGATATAGATTGAATGTATATCAGATATATATTGGATTTATATCAGATACAGATATACGTATATCAGATATCATTTGGGTAAAATTAGAATAATAAATATTTTGCTATATTTAAAATTTTGAAAAGTTTATGATATTTTTTTGAAATATATGAATAATTTTTGCTACCCGCTACAACTATCCTAGGGCGTGAGTTTCAATTCTACTCAGGAAACTATAAAAAATATTTAAAAAAAAAATTAGAAATGGTGACTCCAAAATCGTACTTTCACGTTTTTATCATGCCTACAAATACCTGACACGTACACTCAGGTGAAAAGCCCGCACCCAAATCGTGCGGCCCTTATCTCGCCACGTAAGCCGCAAAAGTGGACCCAGTTCAATGCTGGTAGTCAAATCAGACGTAGCGGCTGATTCCTTTTTTATTCTTCCCCATTAATAATATTCGTATAACAAAATTAGACAAATTCTGGAGACAATTATTGTCTCTTCTTTAAAATAATCGAAAATTATATATATTTTTTAATCTTACAAGTTAAAACATTAATTATTTTGATTTTTTAACGTCATAAATACTGATGTGCTGTTCATTATTTCTAAAACGTAATATGTTTGAAGATTTATATATTCCAATATTTGAGTGCTGTAGTGTAGCATGATTAGTTCATTAAAATAATACTTCCGATGTCTTTTTTATAAAAATAAACAAACTCGATATTTAACAAAAATTAAAAACATATATCTCATTTTGACCCAAATAAATCTACTTGGACTTGGCATGCTTATTATTTTACCTATTATTTATTTGTCACATCATCCCAACTAAAATTAATCTAATAAACATATTATATTGTCCTTCTATAAATAATATTAAGAGAAACAGCACAAATAATTAAAATGTTTAAATATTCGAAAACCATATAGATACAAATTTCAAAATATAGGAACTAAAAATTAATTTTATATCACATGTAACCTGGATCTCCTTCTCTTTCATGTATCTCTTCCCCTCCAGAGGTATGCTTAGTGTCAATTCAGTTCCTATAAATTTTAAAAGCTTAAATTTGGGTTCTTTTTTTCTAGTTCCTATTGTTACAATTTATAAGTTGTTACCAACACGATTTCTATTCAGCTATATTAGAGTTTATGATTAAGTAGTCCAACCCTAATCAGAAATAAATTATACGTAAGCTCGTGTCTCTCTCCCAACACGAGACCCGACCCTTTCATTGTCTCGGATTTCTCTTTTTTTTTTTTTTTGAATAGAAAGATTATATATAAGAAAAAAGAGATTATAAAATGTATATATTTGTAAAGAAAAAGGTGGAACGGGAAAAGAGGAAAGAATGAAAAGGGGGATGAGATTGAAAGCGTGTGAAATGCACTTGGCTTAGGCAGAGGGCCGTGGGGGTACGAATGCAATAACAAGAGACGGGATGGCCACGCGTGGGGAACAAATGGGTCACTCACTCCCACTCCCACTATCACTTTTTTTCTTTCTTTTTTTCCTTTTTATTTCACCATAATTATTTCATTGAAGTTTAATTTTGTGTTATGGGTTTTTTTCTTTTTCTTTTTTTGTATTTAATTGGGATTGAAATGATGAGCTTTCTTATTGGTATTGTGTGCTCATTATGTTTGGGATTGAAATTTAAGTTTAATTCATTTGGATTAATTGTGTATTAACACCAATCTACTTGGAAGTTGGAGGGGAGAAAGATAGTGAAATTGAAAACCTACTTTCATTCCATAACCACGATATTAAATATCCTAACTATAGTTATGATTTTGACAAATAATAGAGAGGATGTAAAGAGGAAACATAAGAATAAATAACGGTTAAATTTTTAGTAGTGATTAATGGGAAGATTCCTACTTGCTAGTCATGAGGTAAGTATTATTCTTTTACAGATACTTTTTAAAAACGTATTTAGATAAAAGTGAGTTTGGTCAAAGCGAGCATTGTTCAACAGTATCTCCAATCAAAAGGTTGTGAGTTCGATCCCCCACCTCATATGTTGTACTAAAAAAATTGAGTTTGCGAAGACTTTTGGAAGTATTACTCTAAGTGAAACAACTTTTCAGTAAACACTTATAAATATATTATTGGTTAAGTGATTCTTCTACGAACAAAGTGTTTTTTTTTTCTTTTTAAGTTTTTAATTAGTTGGAAGCACAATTCACTGTTTCGAAAGTCATTTCAAACTAGTTTATTACTTTTAATTAGAATCTTGAGATCATGGTAAATTATTTAAATTTGTTAGGAGTATTTTTTTAACCATTTTATAAATCATGTCAAATTTGTAGTAAGGGTAACAAAATGTTAAGAAAAGCCAAGTTTGATACCTAAACAAGAAAAAATGAAAGAAAATCCAATGTGTCATAATAATGAAAGCATGCTCGAAAGCATATTATACGCATCAATAGAGAAGCTAAGGAATATGACTGAAAAATGTAAAACGATTAAACTACACTATGAAATAATCTATAGATTTGCTTCAAATTCTTTCTAGGCATACTTTAATTAAAGAAATAAAACATAATTAATTGGAAAAATTAATTATGAGAATCAAGTGGGTGGGGAGGAGACAAAGAAATCTTGAAAAATATAATAAAACAAAATTGGGGTTAGAGATATATGGTATATGTCCTCTTACAAAGTACTTAAAACTAAGGTTATCTTTTAATTCTCACTTTTTGGCCATGGGTGGGTATGGTATCATTATATGTGGAGATTATGTGCATATTGTATATAAATAATATATGATCATTATATTCATTTCTACTACTTTCATTATTCAATTTTCATATCTCTCCTCTTTATTTTTATTGAATTTTTCTTKATTGGTACATTCGAAACATTATCTTTTTTACAATAGGGTCATCTACTTATATCAATTTAAAATTATTTGTTTCTAATCTATGATTGTCCTTTTCTATTCTATTAGAAAAAAAAATTGCCAATATAGATTATAATCTTATAATTATATTTTGTAATTTTAGCTTACGTGGAATTATGTTTATGTGTCTTAATCAACTTAAAAGACGACAAGAGGGTAGAATGGAACTAGGGATACATTCCTAGGCTATTTTTCAATGTAGAAATTAAGGATGGAGTCAAAGGGTGGGAGAATCTCTAGACTTTTCGTAAAAAAAAAAAAAAAATCAAAGAAAATTTCCCTCAATTAGTACAATATATGTAAAGGCAAGGGATCGAACTCATAATCTTTTGGTTGAAGTTATATGCCAATTATAGTTGAGTTATGTTTACGTTGACTCATCGACCATATTTTTCATGGAGAATTCCTCCCCATTTGAGACAGGGCGCCGTATGAACATGATTATACCGGAAATTTGTACATCTCTCTATTCTCAACATATATGGACTTATTTCAAAAGTCCAAATTTATATCTAAAGTGTATTGAGCGGGTAAGTTTATAACCTTTTAGAAATCATAATATAGCCTTAACAACAAAACTTCCATTGATTAATAATAAACATAATTTGAAATAAATATAAACTCGACTTATTTAATTTCATGTTACAACCTAGTCTAACTCTTGGGCTAAATATTCTATTTGATTTGATTAATGGCAGTTTAATTTTAATTAAATAAAAGAAGAATGATTAAAAGCATAAAAGTGATTTTATTGGGGTTCAAATGATTATGAATCCCTTAAAATAAAATGCTACAAGATAAGAATTTAGTCGGTAGGGGGAATCTGTGTGGTAGTTGGTGGATGTATTCGATTGAAGTCTTTTTTTCGCCAAAAAGAAAAAGAAAAAACCTCATTGCAATGTTAATTTTTAATTAAAAAAAATCACAAAAAAAAAGTGCAATTTCCACCATTTACATCAAAACTCTAATATCAAAAAATACCCTTGTTTTAATTCTCCCACATACAACAATTATTCTCTCTTAAATTCTTAATAAGACAGATAGATAGATATATATAGAAATTTAAATTTTGAAATCAAATATACCCTAAACCTTAAATAACTATAAAAATAATGAGATATTATCCACGATCTAAATATAGTTTATAGGGTCATATTATGTTTTTAATGTGAGATCCTTTAACATTCCAATTTTGAGAATTGATGTTCTTTTGAATTTGTTGGGCTCTGGTATTATATCAAGATTCACGGAGTCCATTTCAAAATAGCTCAGGTATATTGTAAACATTTGTTAAGTCTTTATCTTTTTGATGTGAGATTCTTAACCTGTGGTGTTTTATCAAATGTACTATGAAGTTAAGTTAGGACTCAAGTTGGAGAGCATAAGTGGTGAACTAGAAGTTTGTGCAGGGAATTGCATACATTTGAATTTGATAAGGGTAAGACTCCACTTTTTATAAGAGGGAGTATTGAGAAATGTTGCTATGCCATTACAACATGCATAATTGTCCATCAACAAATTTTCCACTAGCTACGAGTATAGCTTCTCATAATAGGGTCATTCTTTCGCCGAATGTCAGTAGATATTTTGTCGGATGAATCTACTTTTGGGAAGAGTCTAACTAAGCACTTGTCATTTATTTTGTCACAAGCTCTTTTTCCTCGTCTTGGAGGTTTTTGGGCTTAGACGTAGACACACATATTCAAGTAAGGGAGAGTGATGTGTTCTATCAGATTTTACATCATAACATGATACATTTTCTTGAGATGTTAGTTCATTCATCTATCTTTCCTACGTCCAAATAAAATATCACTCACTTAAAAATATATTTATGTCAACGACTTTTAGAAGATTGAATTTTTTTTTTTTAATTACAAAGAAATAAGAACTATGTTTTTTAAGCAACTATGAACTAAATTGAAATCACACATGACTAGAATGGTAATTTCACCCGAAAAAATGATTCAAAAAGATACTTCAAAATTTTCCATTTTCTCTTCGAAACCGTGCAGCATCATATAAAAGAAAAAATGCAGTCTGCATATTGCAGTTGTCTCTCCCAACATGATAAAATCCCAACACCAAAAAAAATAATAATAATAAATAAATCGAAAAAAAATACGAGCAGGGAAATTTTTTAAATTTTTTAGAAAAACGATAACAGAAAAGAAACTTTTGTCTTGAAGTCGAGAATCCACGGAGGCCAATTTGGCAAAGCATTTGGACCAATCTCTCCCTTCTGCTTCTTCTGGCTGCCACTGACTGCCCTCTCATTTCACTTCTCTCTCTTTTCTCGGCAGCCCCATCAGAAAAATTTGTATAATCGAAGAAAAGAAACCATCTTTTCTAAACATCATAAAAAACCACCTCAATTTTAAACTACTAATCTTTCTCTCTCTGTAAAACGCCCTTTTTAATGAGCTTTTAATCTTGCAAAATGATGTTTGTTTGGTTTCCTTTTCTGTTTAACTCTGTTTCAATTGTGTAATTGGGGGAAAAGTGGGAAGTTGCTACAGAAAGGCCAACGAAACTTCTTTTTCTGCATAAACAAAACCAGCACTACCCAGACCAGACCATTGTCTACTCTCTCTCTCTATGTATTGAATAAGACTCTTCCCTCTTCGCTTGAAATTTTCCCAAGCTCTGTTGTTTCTTGCAATTTTGGAGTACTTCGGCCTGTCATTTTGATGTCTACACCCTTAGAACATAATTACATAGGATTAACGGAGGCTTCTTCAATGGAAAGAAGCCCCGAGAAGATTTCTTCATCTTCTTCTTCTTCTTCTTCACCCCCTTCCTCTAATGTTACTAACGAGGAAAAGAAATGCGCCACCGTCAGCTTCAAGGACACCGAATTGAGGCTCGGTTTGCCTGGTTCTCAGTCGCCGGAGAGGAAATCGGGAACTGGGATTTCGCTCTTCGGCAAGGATTTTGAGGATAAGCAGAGTAATGGGTATTCTTCTTCTTGCCCTTTGAAGAATCTTGTGTCTGGGTCCAAGCGGGGCTTCTCCGACGCCATTGATGGGTCTTCTGCCAAATGGGTTTTCTCTGGAGGTAATGGATCTGAGGTTAAATTAGGCGAAGGGGCTGTGCTGTTTTCTCCCAAAAGTGGGAAACCGCCGATTGGTGGCTTGGGGAGCAACGTTAATGCCTCGCAGCCGCAGAAGGAAGTGCATCCTGTTCCTCAATCTTCAAAGCCTGCTCAGGAGAAGAAGCCGCAGGTTTCAGAAAATGCTGGTGCTCCTTTGGCCAAGTAAGTAGAGCAATTTTGTTACTCTCTTGTCTTCTTTCATTGACTTAGCTGAAAGAAATGTTGGGTTTTCTTTGAAGTTTTACTAGTTTTCAACACTCTAATCTTGATGTATTTTGTGTCCCTCCCTCTTTTTTCTTCCCTTTATTTTTTTCAAATTGGTGCTCTTATTGCTGATAATGCCAATTTTGCTGTTGGGTTGGATTTGTTTTCCTTGTCACTGCTTTGGTGGTCTGCGTTGTGGAAAATTCTCTTCTGCATATGCTTCAAGAAACTTATCTCTGTTAATGAATTTGAAGTACAACCAAATGTTGATGATGATGAATATGGAGCTGGGCCTATTGGGAGTCTTTCCTCTGTGTGATCTCAATCGTGTTCGTAAAGAACGCCTCGGTGAAGATAGATGCATAGAGATTAGGCTTGAATAGTATGCTCTTGTATTTAGCCAGGGACGACGTATAGGAATAGAGTGAGCTCTCTATTACCGGTTACGGTTTTTGGGAGATTAAGTTCATCTATCCTATATGAATGAGCTCTCTCTTATCCTATATGATTTTGATGTTTACTATGTATTTGAAGTTTTTCTTCTTACCTGAAAATTAGACTTGGTAAAGGATGGAATACCGAGCATAAAAATGTATGAAACACAGGGCACAGGTTGTGGGATGGCCGCCGATTCGATCCTTCAGGAAGAACACCATGACCTCTTCCAATTCAACAAAGAACGCTGACGAAGCCGAGGAAAAATCGGGATCGTCCAGTTGCCTCTATGTAAAAGTTAGCATGGAAGGTGCTCCATACCTGAGGAAGGTTGATCTCAAACTGTACAGCAACTATTCTGAACTATCACTGGCTCTGGAGAAGATGTTCAGCTGCTTCACTATTGGTATCCCCCAACAAAGATTTTGATTCTATTATCTCCAACACAATATTTTCACCTTAAGTTATGAATTTTGGTTATCTTTTTCATCGTTTTATCGACATAAATGCTTATTTGACGTTTTGATTCCTATGGTTTAACTTCAGGGCAGTGTGGTACTGAAGGACTTCCAACTAAAGAGGGTCTAAGTGAGAGTAATTTGAAGGATTTTCTCCATGGCTCTGAATATGTGCTAACATATGAAGATAAAGATGGGGACTGGATGCTTGTTGGTGACGTCCCTTGGGAGTAAGTCGTTTTATTTCGGTTCGTGTAGATTTAATACATGAATGACTAGTAGAATAGTTAGAGGAGGTTCTTTGATTCTTGCCTAGCAGATCATGCAGTGATTTCCATTATTTGAACACGAACACCAAGACTTGAGGCTCATATTCGGATGGCGTTGTCGACATAGTTAATATAGGCAACTTTGATCTAGATCTTGGTTTCTGATCAGTAATTCTATGTTCTTGCCTAGTCTTTACTTGAATATATGTGAACAATTCATATTTTGCTCATTGTTTTGGATCCGATATCACAGGATGTTCACCGATACATGTAGAAGACTCCGAATCATGAAAGGTTCTGAAGCAATTGGGCTAGGTAAGTTAAGAGCATAATCTGATTTCTTACATATGTAGAGAAGCTCAAGATGATGTTAATAAATGCAATATCTGTGGTTGTTGAATTGCAGCGCCGAGGGCCATAGAGAAGTGCAAGAACCGAAACTAGCAAGACGAAGCTCGTGACATCTGCTTGAATTGTGAAAGCCCTTTCTTCAAACAAGAATGTTATGGTTCATTATGTTATAAAACTAATGTTGTACCTTATGAAATGCTAACATTTTCCTGCTTGGTAGATAAAGAAATTCCACTGAAAGACAGTTAAAAGTGTTGCCTGTTGTGTGTTAAATGTTAAATGTGAAATGTTATTGCCTCCCTCTTAATTCAAGAGTGAATACCATGAGTCTGTTTGCTGCTGCTTCTACATTCCTACTTGAATACACAAACACACAAAACAAGACATTATTCGATCACTTCCATTTCAGTACCTCGGTTCTTCGCATCGAGGCTAAAGCTTTTACAAAGGGACGACATCGAGCCTGCCCGAAAACTACTCGAAAGCAGAAAGAGGAAGAGGAGCATCTGCAGGTGGGGAGTTGAGGAGCTTGTTTGGTGGGAGAGGTCTTGGTTGGAGATTCTGGCGAAGATGGGCGACGTTGTTCTGGGGCTGAAGTTCGAGGCCGGGGTCGTAATGATCAGAATTCTGATCATTCCGACTACTGCGACGGAAGTGGGAAATGAGGAAGCAGAGGAGACGGAGAGAGGAAAGAATGGCAATGAGGAGTAAAGCTGAGAGAAGGTAGTCAGTGGGGGAGCGAGATGTTTTGCAGCCAAACAATATTCCGAGACAAACCATGGCAAAGGGCTGAGCAGAGAGTTCTGAGGAGCTGCTGCTATGGCTGCCAATTTAATTAGAGAGAGTTTTTTGAAGATGTAAGCTTTTTTCTTTGGGGGGTTGGGTTCTTTCCTTGTCCCAAAAATGCGCAGCACAACTACTTTGAGCCGTATTCTTGCTTGCCTTCCTCACCCACTGTTTCATCACTTTTAGTCAAGCGTGGAATCATTTCATACCCACCATGCAATTTTTTTTTTATTTTGTTTAATTTATAAAATAGCAACAAATAAATAAATCAATCAATCACCACTAAATTATGAAATTTGTTATAACCTAACTTTGATTAAAAATGTATCTACTATACTACTCCTTGAGTTGGATTTCGTTTTTTAGTTTTTATTTTTATAATTATGTTTGTTTTTTCATAATTTATTGGGTATATTTTTTTCGACACATTTGAATTCTTAGCTAAAATTTTAAAACGAAAACAAGTTTTCAAAAATTATATATATATTTTTCAAAATTTGGCTTGAATTTTGAAAATATTTTTAAAAAGTTATAAAACTCAAAAGAATTCATAGCAAAGGAGTGGTGATAAGTTTAATTTGAAAAAGCAAAAAACTAAAAACTAATATAGTTATTAAATAAGCTTAAGTTTCAACAATTAGAATTCATTCAAAATCCTAAAAATCCTAAAGGTGTATTTGGTTGGTGATCAGAAAACAGAAATTTGAAAACAAGAGATTCAATGAAAACAAAGAATTGTATTATTTATTTTGAGTGTTTTCAGATATGTGTTTGGTAGCAGATTTGATAATTGAATCTCAATTTAAAAAATTTTTCAATGTGCATTTAGTAATATATTTGTAAACTAGGGATAGTTACATACAAAATTTTAATTTAATCTAAACTTATATTAATTAATTTAACATTTTTTTATAAATTTTGTATAATTATTATTTTACAAGGTTATATAATTTAGAATACCTTATATTTTACATGTTTTAATTTTAACCAATGAGTTTATAATATGAAGTAATATATTTATCAAAGTTTTTATCTTTTTATGTAATTCTCTCCAAAATCCTGCCAAACGCGTATTTGTTAAATTCATTTGATTAAGTGAACATGAAAACAAAAAAAACAAAATTTGGATTTTCAACCAAACAGATCCTAAACTACTGATAAATTATGAGGTTGTATTTATCAGTTTGAATTTGTAAAATTGTTACAAATTAAAGCCAACTACTAATATTTTTTTTCTTTCCTTTCTTGAATTTGAGCAAATTTGAACTTCTTATTATTGAGAAGGTAATAAATATTTTACTAATTGAATTGTATTTACCACCAAAACTATTAGTAAAGTTATATAGTAGAACTTTTTGCTGTGCTTTTGTAGTCTCGAGAAGAGTAATGGTTCAAATTCAAAGTCAATTATCCTAAAAACTAGGAAGGTATAGCAATGCTTTTGTAAAACTTAATTGGTACGATTTTGTACTTTTTAGAAGAGTAATGGTTCAAAGTCAAAGTCAATATAAAAAAAGAAAAAAAAAACTTTAAAATTCAAAGTAAAATAATAATAACCTGAATTTAATTCTGGTAAATGATGTATCTCCCATCAATAGATGGTTTGAATTACACATCATATATTGTTATACAAAAAAGAATAAAACTTAATAATTTCTATGATTTAATGAGTAGTTTCCGTAATTTCCTAATAAGAAAAAAATAATGATGGTAAAGTTTAAATAAAAAGATGGTATAAAATTGCCGGATCCGTTCAGATTTTTATTTATTATTATTTTATTTAAGATTTATTATTTTATTTTTGGGTGATAGGACCCTCAAATAACGAATAATACTATACGTAAATATCATATTTACGTATATATTCGTCCATCTGATTTATTTAGAATCTTTAGCTGTATAAGATGCTATTTATTACAAGATTTTTCTAATCAACCTATCAAATATATTGTGTTATATCTTCTTTATATTATTTAACTTTAACTTGATATCATGTCAAATCTCGATAGATATATTATGTTGTTAATATAAATCCAATTTAGTAGTTTTTTTTGTGCTAAACCCAATTTAGTAGTTTAGATATATGTTATTTTCATCTTCATATTTATTGTACTAAAAAAAATTATATATCATGTAAAATATAGATCAAAATACTTTCCTATTGAAACAAAAAGAGATAATTTTGAGTTGAAAGATTTTATTTTTCCTTTTTTGCAATGAAATTGAATGGAGGAGGAGATTAAACTTCTATTATTAATCAACACAACAGTAAAATTGGGAGACTAAGTTTATAATGTGACAAAATCCTATAACATGTCCCTTTAAGGAAAAACATTATAATATGTTTTAGAGGACATTTAATTAAAAACACAAATATGAGAAGGTTACTTTTGTAAAAGAACCTTGATCTTTTTCCATTGTTCATCCTGTGGCACGTGGGTAACGTACGTGCGAATTCGTTTCTCGTCCTCTGTGCCGCTGATGCTGAATGAACTGCGCAGTTCCGGTCGACAAGGCAGGGATTGCGAATGATAGTTTGCAGGTCTCTTTTCAGGTATGATTCACAGAACGCCGTTTGGTTTCCGAGAAAATTTCATCAAGCATGCCAGAAATCTTTCCTTTCCTTAATCTTTAGTTAAAATTTTGTAATTCTACAATTTTCTGAGCTTACTGCTTACCTGACATTGCCGGATATTTGGCTCCATTTTCATCATTTGAGACAGAAGCGAAATCTAACATGAAGTGAAACTCCGCTCAATCATTTGGTTATAACTCATCCGATTGAGAGGAGGTTTTGATCGATAATACTTGACGAAATCTCAGTTATTCAAAAAATATCTAAGCTTAATCAAAAGATTCTCTGTATCAGTATAACTATACTTAATCTGCTGTGCTATGATATTTTTGTAGAGTCGACCGCCTCTTGAAATATACAAGTTCGTATGTCCTACAGCAGCCGGTAATCTATTCTGGAGCTCATTATATTAACTGTTAATTGAAGTCGTCTTGAATTTCTGTTTCACTGAAGAATGATATGATCCACTATTGAAATGATGTTCTTCCTAAAATTGATGCTGCGACAACTGTTGTGGAGTAGCTTGTAATCCTTATATTGTTCTTGAAGTAACCCCTATTCTAATGTGTCAGGGGCACTATGCTTATAATGGTTTAAGCCTATATACGAATATGACTGGTAGGAAGGAATTCCGGAGTGCTGCGGACCAGAAGAAAAAGCGCAAAACAATCAGCCAAGCATGGAGACCAGTGTGTACTCACGCCAGCCCTTCTGAGGGTAAGTTGAATCTATATTACAAGAGCATATAAGTGTAGTACTTGAACTTTGGGACATCCAACAAGCTAGGGAGCTTCCAGAATTACCAAGTTTAAATTCTTCGTTGATAGCAAAGACATGGGCGTTCGTTTGTCCATTTCTTAAGCATAATAGTGAAAAGGCCCCATCTGGATTTTAATTTGTATAATGATTGGTATTGCACGTTTGAAAGTTGAATTTATTGTGTACTTGGTGGATATAATTTTCTAAAACTGGAGCAACTCACCTTGACAAATTCAATTGAAACAATTTAGTGGAACCTGAATGGTCGGTGATGTAGATTTGTCAGTTAAGGATGGTAGAGTTGAGTCAAAGGATGGAAATCAAATTCAACAAATGGATTGCAGTTCGGTTAGTGCTCAACAGGTCACAGAGGTAGCTGAAGAAACTAAAGTAGTAACTGACCTATCTGTTGGTTCAAGTGCATTTCCGAATAAGAGTGGAGATACAAACGTGGAAGGACAATCTGTGGCTTCCAGTGAGAAGTTTTCAGTGAAAGTGGATGTAAGTGAGCATATGCAAGTATCTCATCGGATCAATTTCATGAGTTTACTTCTAATTTCTAGTCTTTTTAACATGCAGGTAGGGAGCTCTCTAATTCGATTTGTCAGAGGGAAAAGGTAATTTTATATCTACATATTGGTAGTAAATTTATGTCAGGTTTCTCATTTGTTTTGCCATCTCTTATTCCACAGTGGATCTACACAAGAAAAGATTGAAGAAGAGATGGGGATCAAGATTATGATTCCATCATCAAAGAAGGAAGAATTTGTTGGTAAGATGTCAGAATTTAAACATTTCGTTTGACTTAATTGCAAAATACGATGTTTAGTTTAGTTTTTTAGCTAAATTACAAAATAGATGCCATTTTTTGGGCTGTAATTATCTTGTTATATGGTAGAGCATATATATTTTTTTTCCCATCTAGAATAGGGATCTAATACTGATTTTTTTAATGAACTCTCTGTTTGATTAATCATTACAGTTATTGAAGGTAATTCAGTTGATAGTGTAACCAAAGCTTCAGAAAAAATACAATCCATAATTGATGAGGTAAGTTGTCTATCTTTATGTTTGTTTTAAAAATATATTATGCTCAGTTCTTCCAATTTTTGTACTTCATTTTCGTAAATTTTTGTATGAGTCGATGTAATGGTTTTGGTTTGAGGAGAGCCCTTTTCTTTTTTCTTGTTATCTTTGCTTCCTTTGTGGTTTTGATGCTTCTACAGATCTTGAAATATTCTTCTTGACACTTTTTTTCTTTTAAAGTAACAAGTACGTTAGAATGCATAATGGATCGTTTATTTCTTCTACGTTGAAATGCAGGCAATTAAAAGCCCAAGTCTTGATTACTCACATTTTGTGTCCCTCCCTCTGGCTATACACCCTGAATTAGTCGAGAAGCTTATCAATTTCCAGAACTCCATACTAGGAAGTTCTGAATCTTGCTTAGATGAGGTTGAGGACAGCGATACAAATGAAGATAATACAGACAATGAAGTTGAGGATCAACAAACTGTTAAAGCACCAGATGTGGCAGTTGAACTAAAAGTGGAAGATCAAAGTGAGCAAATCAAAGTGAACATAAATATACCTCTCGTCAGTTACGCTCCCAAAGCTTCAAAAACTGCTGCACCATCTGGTATGATAACTACTGAACATTGTAAAGGCTCAGGAACTTGCAATTCACATAAAGTTATAGGAATTGTCCAATTCTTAAAACATGACGGTGAAAACATATTTCTATTATTTGTTCATTTTTCTCCATTGAATCTATTGCTCTGTAATGAGTTCCTGGCTTGCAGATATCAACTGGTGATCTGTACGTTTCTTTTTCCCTTCCCGTTTTTAGTTCTTTAAGAAGATTGAGTAACTTTGATTTTCGCCTTCCATACTAGAGTTGCTTTTAATTCTTTCCATTTTCTTTTCTTCTAAATACTTTTCTGACTTCCATTTCTCTTGACAGACTTGGGAATTGATAAATCAATATTTATAAAGCCTAAAACATTTCATCTAACGGTGCTTATGTTGAAATTGTGGAACAAGGAGCGAGTTGATGCTGCTTCTGAAGTTTTGAAGGTGACTTATACTCAACTGGCTGGATATTGGTAGAACTTGTGACATACAGACAAATTTCTTTTCTTCCAGGGTATCTCCTCTAAAGTAATGGATGCATTGGATAATAAGCCAGTACTAATTAGGCTCAAGGGGTTGGTGAGTTCTCTTAACTTCAAGCATCAAATTTTGTTTGATTATTTATTGATTGTTGAAACACGATGCTTCCTATATTAGTATCCTTTCAATCTTTCTTAACTGCCGTTCACTCATGATTAATTCATATTTCAAATTGATTAGAATTGTTTTTCTGCTTTGGTAAAATCTAGCATTTTCCATTAATATCAAGTTGGCTGATAGTCCATCAAAACACCACCATCTAAGTAGTCATCTTTATAGAAGACTATGAAATATTATGAAAGTTGACAATATTCTGATTCCTTTAACTATGTGTCATATCAGGATTGTATGAGAGGTTCTTTGGCCAAAGCCCGTGTTCTGTATGCTCCCGTTGAAGAAATTGGAGATGATGGAAGATTATTACGTGCCTGTCGTATCCATTTCATAGTTTTATCTCAAAATCATCCTACAATCTGAAAATGATTATAGTTGTTTCTTCTTGGTTCCAAGTTCTTAATTAAGATTAATTAAACATTTTTTACCTTTGAGTTTCTTGAGCCTTTTTAGAAGTCATTACGGATGCATTTACTGAAGCTGGACTTGTTCTGGAGAAAGATGCAAAACAGAAGTTAAAGGTACGATAACAATTTCTAATACCCTTCAATCCGACTCAATGACCAAGCTTCAACGATAGGATTGAAGCTCTATCAGAATGTTTGTTCATTACTTTTGCGATTGAATCCGTCAATGTGATCTTCAAAACTACCTATTCTAAGAGTTATCCTCTTTCTTAAATACTCAGTTGCACGCCACAGTTATGAATGCGAGACATAGGAAAAGGTACACGTTTAAATTCAACTTTTCTTCGATACATTCATCATTTCCTGTACTTTCTGGCTTCTTCCAGATGTGAATCTCTCTAAAAAATTTCGATTTGCTCGATTTCCTTCTGTGTCATTGCTGATTTCTATGCCACCGCAATGCTGCAGGAATAAAAGGAAAAAGAAGTCTGATTCATTTGATGCTCGTGAAATTTTGAAGCAGTATGGGTCGAAGGAGTGGGGAGTGTATCATATCCGTGAAGCTCATCTCTCACAAAGATTTGCATTCGATGAAACTGGATACTACCACTGCTGTGCTTCCATACCTTTCCCTGAACATATGCAACTTGACTGATTCCCTAAGCTTCAGGTAGAAACTATGCAACCAGAATCTTTCAATTTATTCTGTGGTTTGATCTGTTTGTAGAATTTAGCGAGTTTTTAATGATCATAAACATATAAAATATTGTATTTATTTCGGAACTTAAAGCTGTATTTGATAACCATTTTGTTTTTGGTTTTCTGTTTTTGAAGATTAAGCTTGTAAATACAACTTTTTAAAAAACATTTTTAGAGTTTTAAGCCAAAATTTGAAAACTATGAAAAAAGGAGGTTGAAATTTGGCTAAGAATTCTGATGTGTCTTTAATAAACGTGAAAACCTATCCAAGAAATGGTGAGCAAGTAAACTTAAATTTTCAAAAATAGAAAATTAAAAATGAAATTGTTATCATACGGCGCCTTACTTTTTCTTCATATGAAAGCACTTAACCTCGTCTGATGAAGATGATTAAACAAAAAAAAAAAAAATCATTTCGTTGTAGAGTTGAATCATCATTATTTACAATGTCTCATGAATGTGTATATTATGAAAATTATTAGTGATTAGGTTTTTTTTTTAATGGCATACCATCTTTAGTTAAAATATATAACATTCTGGAAATGAGGCAGAGACTTTGATATATTGCAATAGATATACTATAATTTCAAATAATTTTTATTAAACCATACTTCAAAATTCTGAAATATGAAGCAATAAACAAAATCCCTTAAGCCTTATCCACTCATATATTTTAAAAAAATGTGACCCCTCTGTGCCTTATCCACTCATATTTTGGTCGCTGTCTAGCTGGGCGCCATGCCTCCATATGATCACCTTCTTCTTCTTGTCTGTCTCTGTGGACTGTGATTACGAGGAGGATGGAGCAATTATTGATGAGCCTCTGGACATTTCCATTAAGGCCATCTTCAAGACAGCTCAGATTTGTAACAAAAAAGATTAGATTATGATTGGCGTTTGAAAATATTCCTAACACAAGCCCCTCGAGCACAGTCTAGTTGGCAATGACTTGAGGTCTCCAGGTCATATTAGCTTATTAGAGGTTTCAAATTCGAACATTCCGATAAGCTTAATACCAAAAATCCTTGATATCTCTTAGATTCGAACCTTGAAACGGGGCAGGTGCTCCTGGGTATAGAGGAGCAAAATTCCAACTCTCGGATATCAAATATATATAATTTTTTGCTGATACAATAGCATTAGACATTTTCACATGGATAAATAACAAAAACTACCCTAACAACGAACAACAAATGTGATCATAGTGTTTGTACTGTCTGTAAAGAGTCTATATAAGAAAGAATATGTGTGGGGAGTGGAGAAGGTTGATCATTAGGAGGAGTCACAGCCACCTGAATCCACCTGAATAATTATTCATTGGAAGCAACTCTCGTTAAATTTCAGAGACATGGCCTGGTTCACCATTGGAAGCTTTCAAGATTCTTTCAGCTTGCGCTCTTGCAAGGCTTATCTTGCAGAGTTCATCTCCACCTTGCTCTTCGTTTTCGCCGGCGTTGGCTCTGCCATTGCCTACAGTTAGTTTCCCTCTCTCTTTCTCGATTTTCATTACAAGTATGATTGGAGAGTCAAACCTTACGACCTTTCGAGAAAATAGAGATGTGTCTCTCTTGAGTTTCAAAAACTTCATTACTTGTTTTTGGATTAAGAAAAACATATTTAGTTCTTGGAGTGAAAAATCTTGTCAAGCTATTGTGTGAATTTCATGGATACGTAGATCTTTATAATGTTAAGTTTAAGTGATGTATATGTTAGTGAGAATTTTGACCAAAAGTATGTTAAAAATACTTGTATTTTACTTTCTACAGTACTTAAAATCAATTTTGCGAGTCCAGGAAAAAAAGAATTTTGACCCTATTTCAAGCCTATGAGTGAAACTAAGACAGAAAAATCTTTTAGATCTTACTTGTACAGTGCCATTTTTCGAATGATGAAATTGCTTGTCCTAGCTCGAATGACAACGAGAAGGAATATCGACTGAGACTAAATTAATACAAAATTTAAATAACAAATAGTAAAATCATTACGACTAAATTTTTGTTAAATTATAACGCAATAAACAAAATGTGTTTTTCAACGTGGGTTTTGTGAAGAACCTCAGCGTTTGGTGTGTTTAATTTTACGTTTTTTTGCAGATAAAATAACTTCCTCTGCAGCTCTAGACCCAGCGGGGCTAGTTGCGGTGGCGGTTTGCCACGGATTTGCTCTGTTTGTTGCAGTGTCCGTCGGAGCCAATATCTCCGGCGGCCACGTCAACCCCGCCGTCACCCTCGGCGCCTTGCTCGGCGGCAACATCTCCATCCTCCGTGGCCTTCTCTACTGGATCGCTCAGCTTCTTGGCTCCATTGTCGCCTGCTACCTTCTCAAATTTGTCACCGGCGGCCTAGTAATCTATCTAATTTACCATAATTTTTAAGTTTAAATCTCATTTCTTACATTTTGTTATTTGAAACTTTTTCAAAAATGTCCAAATATTTAGAGCATTTTTCACTTGCAGGCGGTTCCGATCCACAGCGTGGCAGCCGGCGTCGGAGCGGCGGAAGGAGTAGTGATGGAGATTGTCATCACCTTCGGCCTGGTTTACACTGTCTACGCGACGGCGGCTGACCCGAAGAAGGGGTCGTTGGGCACGATTGCGCCGATTGCCATCGGACTGATCGTCGGAGCAAACATCTTGGCGGCCGGACCGTTTTCCGGCGGATCCATGAACCCGGCCCGGTCCTTTGGGCCTGCGGTGGTCAGTGGGGACTTTCACGACAACTGGATTTACTGGGTTGGGCCGCTCATTGGCGGTGGCTTAGCTGGGCTTATCTATTTCTACGCCTTCATGGCCTATGGGCCCAGCCCAATCCCAAGCGATTTCTAAAGCCCAAACAAATTAAGCCTTCTTTTTCCTCTGTTCCCTCTGCAATAACAGGAGGAAAAGTAACGTTTTTATTTTTTTTTGGCCGTTCTTCCTTTGTTCTATTTTCTTCTTGGCTTCTGGATTGTCTTTTTCATCTGCAGAGGTTTGCTTTTTGGGCCCTTGTTTTTATGGGAAAATATTTGTATCTTAATGCCTTCTATTTATTTGAATGTATGTCTTGATTTTATTGGATTCTCTCCTTCATTGTATTGCTCTGTCCCATTTGAATAGCTCATAATTCAGTAATCTAATCACTACATAAGAAATTGAGTGCCACAAGTCTCACAAATTGCACCAATAGATTATGGGCTGAAGGAGAGTTTGTCGGTGGATTTGCAAAAGTAAACCAAAATTCTATTTCTCTTCTAGGAGATTCGAGGCTCCACTTCTCGCATCATGCTAATGCTAATAGTTGTTAACCAAGAGAACACATTGACTAGGAAAGAATATGATTTAGGGTATATAGATGAGGACAACTATGTGTATTGGTAGAGACATTTTGAGTGAAAGCAAAAGCAAAACCGTGATGGTTATGCATAGAACGGACAATATCATACTAGTGTGAAGATACTTAAGGTACTTGGAAAAAGTAACAGATTATATAATATAAACGGAATAATTACAATGTTGATAGGTGATACATGGAGCTTGTCTTTGTAGGCTCCAAAGTGGATGAGTTAATCTCCATAGCTCAATCTTCTTGTTGGGTAACAAACAAAAAAAGGATAAAAATTATGCAGATTCTGAAGATTCAGATGACTCTGAAAGCTCTACTTTCTCATAACCCCATTCATGAGCTTTCCACTCAGGTAACTGTTGAACAACAAGCTGCAGCCAAAGAAAACACAAAAAATACTCATGAACTTTTGTGAAAGAGAGGAGACTGTTGTATTCAACATCATCATCAATCAAACTTGTACAGATTACCATTCCTCTGGAATCTGGTTTCCCAACAGTGGTTTGGCAAGCCAGTCTCCAATTTTTTGGTTTCTGTACATATATGAAACAAAATCATTAGATTTCTTGGGTTGATTCAGCTAGAAAGAGACGTTAAAAATGATTTAAACTAAAAGAAATGTCATGAATTCTCTGTTTGAGAGTGCAGAATGTCAACGGCTACTGTTTTACTTACCCTTTTAAGTTTGTCTTTCTCTATGTCCGTGCGAGGGTTCAATAGCTCTTTCCCTTCAACGATCTGGGACAGTAAAATGGTTCAGTCAGAGATTAAGATTGAATTTCTTCTTCATTTCAGTCGTTTTTCAATGGGCAAATGCACAGGAAATTGAGTTTTAAACTTCAATGCCAGCCTGTGGAAATCCTTCACTAAAAATCCTTTTTTATTTCCTAAATTTACGAGATTATTCTACTTTGGTTCCCGAACTTTTAAAATGTACAATTTAGTCCTTGAACTTTTAAGTTTGTTTTATTTTGGTATCTAAACTTTCAAAAGTTCCTAAACTTAAAAAGAGAAAAACTACTTTGGTCCCAGAAAACAAAAATTTGGGTCCTAAAGTATATTTTGTTATTAACAAATTAACACGTAACTTTTAAGTATGTGTACTAACATGTTAATGTGAGTTCATAGTTAAGGTGGCAAAATAATATGACAAGGACTAAAATGATAATTTTTTTGGAGGTTCATAGACTAAAACAGAGATTTGAATGCTCGGGATCAAAATGGAGCAAACTTGAAGATTCACAGACCAAAATAGACATTTTGAAATATCATGGACTAAAATTGAACCAGCTTGAAAGTTTGACGGAAAAAATGAGATTTAAACCATCATTTTAAACTTTATCATAATGATTAAACAAACAATTTGTTTCAGAAAGACGAAATGAAAAGGGCACTGAATAAATCCTCTTCATAACATAACATGATCCAAATTCTAAAGCAAGTAAAATCACCTCCACCATACAAGTCCCACAAGTTCCTCCACCCGCACAGTTCAACAGAAATCTCGACTGCAAGAGAACATCAAAGGAGGAATGACACAGTAAATCGTTTGAAAACCCATTATTATTATCATTACATAAAGTTGAGGAAGTGGAAAAACTCACATAAGGCCCATACAATTCAATGTTAGAATCCAGCATTATGTTTCTGAGCTTTTGCCCACCACATGCTCGACGAAAGTGCACATCGGGGGTTCCATCAGGAAGCAACACAGACTAGAAAAACACACGATTAGGCAAGGCAATTCACATTAAAACCCCAAATTCGGCACAACGACTTACATTAACGAAAGCAAAATCCACAATCGGAGGCTCCTCGGGGTCAGTGGTTTCGGATTGACTCTGAGGAACAGTGCCAACGGCTCTGATTTTGGCTCTGCGGAAATTTAGGGGGCGGAGGCGTTTGAGGGTGTGGGTGGAGTTTGTAATGTAGTTGAAAGAGCGAAGGGAGGATGAAGATGATAAACGATATGAACCCAGATGGTAGGCCTCCATTTTTTGGATAGTGGAGCTTCAAGAAAACAAATGGGAGAGAATCGGTGTGCGGTGTGGTTCTTTATGGCCTTATCTGGTGTCGCATCGCCTGGTTTGGGTAAGGTTTTGAGCCCACCGCGAAGAGTAAAATGGGAAGGAAAAAAAATCCATAAAAAGAAAACTAAAGCGCTAGAAGGAGGGTTTGAACCTCCGACCTTGTGGTTAACAGCCACACGCTCTAACCAACTGAGCTATTCCAGCTGTGAAAACTTGTGGTAGACATTTATTATATAAACAAATACAATTTAAATAAATTGACAAAAACGCTAGAAGGAGGGCTTGAACCTCCGACCTTGTGGTTAACAGCCACACGCTCTAGCCAACTGAGCTATTCCAGCTTACCTGTTATTTAATTTACATACAAACTGTAAAACTACAAGTTAAGATTTCCATTTGTACATTCTAAGTGTTTTATCAAAATTTTAAATTTATATATATATATAAAATTTTTTTTTCTTTTTATGGAGTTTTACATTTTATCTTAAAATTTGTTTTTATTCAAACAAATTCCTCCTTCCATACTACAACCTTTATGACATAATATCTTTTTTCCTTTTAGATAAAGAAAAGTTTCATTCAAAATAAGTAACAACATCTTAGACTACAATAGTGCAAAAATCATTGTTTGCTACTTGTTGCATCTCGTGAAACATGTACAAAGGACACATCGTCGAAAGATGAGAGTCGTCGAATATCTTCAATACATACTCTCCTCCACGATCTGACTAATAGTAGAGAGAGAACTAGATTTCAGAATAATGAGACTCTAATTTAYGACATAATATCTTGATCTTTAGACTTAAACAAATTAACACACAAACAGATTCTGTTAATTAGTGGATATTAGTCAACCTGAGTATAACTCAATTGATTAATATACGAAAGTTCAAATCCCCACCCCACCCACGTACTCTCCAACTAAAAAAAATATAAATATAAAGTTGCAAATGGAGGTAAATAATTAGTCAAAATTAAACATTAAAAAAAAAGTGATTAGTGGGCTTAAGAACTAGTGGGCCTTACCATGGATAATGGGTGGGCGTATCCGTACATCCGTTCCTTCGGCTAGAAACCTGCTTAAACCCCTTCACACAGAATGGTAAATAAGGCGTTCGAGTGGCGCTGAAGAACACGATGCCATTGCCATTGACATTGCCGCGCGTCTCAAGTCTCCGCCTCCTCTTCCTCCCTTCAAAATTCCCATTTTTCCCGCACCCTCCTCTCTCCTTTCCCAAGTCGCCTTCTCTTTTCACCGTTCTCGCCTCCTCCCCGCCAAAACGCCGCCGTAGCAGCGGCAGCGCCCCCCCTCCTCTCAGTTTCAAGCGGAGAAACAATTCTACTTTAAGAGAGACCCAGAAACCGGTGGCTATGGAGGAGATCGAGGCCGTGGCTGCTGGGTTTAACAAGCGAAGGGCTGAGGGCAAAGATAAAACTGATTTGCCCAAGAAGAACCTCCAGCTCAAAGTCAGGAGGCTGAATCCTGCCAATACGATTTCATATTTGCAGGTCAAATTGGGTTCGCTCTGTTTTAGGTTTTGTTTTGAGTTCCTGGCTTTGATTATTGAATTGGGTTTCGTTTCAACAACTTCTTGTTGATTACTGCAGATATTGGGCACTGGAATGGACACTCAAGATACGTCGCCTTCGGTCTTGCTTTTCTTTGACAAGCAGAGATTTATTTTTAATGCTGGAGAGGTAACAGAAAACTGTTCTTACTTCTCACTTCTCCTATTGAATTGTTAAGACATTATATGTCATCCACATTACAGGGATTGCAGAGATTCTGCACGGAACATAAGATTAAGTTATCAAAGGTATTATACTTTGAAAAGTCCATCTGTTTCCTGGATTCCAAACTGGTTGTTCTTGTGTTCTGAACCTTAGTATTTTATTGTTTCTTCCTCTAGATAGATCACATATTTCTTTCCCGCGTCTGTTCAGAGACTGCTGGTGGACTTCCTGGTATGCATCTTGGGTGATTAGCTTTGATTGGGATGCCGTACTTTGTTTGTTGTTTTTTTTCGTTTTGTTTTTTTGAAAACTGGGAGTCACCGGAGGCACCGCTCCTTCCCCAAGGCCCAGACCTAGAAGACATCCAGGGTCTTAGGCATTAAGCTCTCCACAATATTCAAATTTGAGACATCTAAGTCAGTATGACCGAGTGACCCCAAACCTTTGCCAATTGGACTACCCCTTGGGGTGATGCCGGMCTCTATTTTAATGTCACTTATTTGCTTTGAATATAGCACTCGCGATTTAGTTGGATTATTTACTAATAAGACAACATTACTAAGTTTGAGTTTGAGATATTTTCTTGCATATATGGATTAGACAGCCTAAGCTTGTCATTTACTTCTTGCAGGGTTGCTGCTGACTTTGGCTGGCATTGGAGAAGTAGGGATATCTGTGAGTATAACATTTACTTCATACGTTTTACAATTTATTTTTTCGTTGAATGAATTCTAACTGAACGAGCAGTATTGCTTGTTCTAATACTGTAGTTTCTATTATTTTGAAGGTCAATGTTTGGGGTCCTTCTGATTTGAAGTACTTAGTTGATGCTATGAAGTCTTTCATACCAAATGCTGCCATGGTTCACACACGGAGCTTTGGACCGGCACTTGGTTCTGACGTGGATGCTGTCAATGAGTTTAGTAAGTTTTATGATCCCATTGTCCTTGTTGATGATGAGGTAGTCAAGATATCAGCCATTTTAGTACGACCAAGTTTAAATAGAGGGTTCCAGCCTTTCGCCGARAATAACATGGGCCAATCGATAAGGAGTCTTGAAGAGAGAACAAACCATGGTTCTGAAGCTATAAGTCCAACAACCAAAACTTTATCTACAGTAAAGCCAGGTGACATGTCTGTAGTATATGTATGCGAACTTCCTGAGATAAAGGGGAAGTTTGATCCATCCAAAGCAGCTGCTTTTGGTCTCAAACCCGGGCCAAAATATCGTGAGTTACAACTTGGAAATTCAGTGATGTCAGATCGCCAAAATATCATGGTAGCCCAGCTAATAGCTATGCCCCTTTACTACTACTACAAGCTATTATTTGCTATTTCCTAATCTATTGGTTTTTCAATTGGCTTAGGTTCATCCAAGTGATGTCCTTGGCCCCTCAGTTCCTGGTCCAGTTGTGTTACTTGTTGATTGCCCGACAGAATCTCATTTGTCAGAATTAATGTCTTTACAATCTCTGAGAGCTTATTATGAAGACTTCACAAGCGACGAGACCGAAACCAGTATGGTGGTGACATGTGTTATTCATCTAAGTCCTGCTTCCATCCTTGGAGATCCTAATTACCAGAAATGGATGAAGAGATTTGGGTCAGCCCAACATATCATGGCGGGCCATGAGAGGTGAGTCTCTTTCTTCGTTCCACGTGTCTGCAGCTCTTGATTTCATATGTTGATTGTCATTCTAACTTTATTTTTCTGCAGGAAGAATGTTGCAATTCCAATTCTTAAATCCAGTGCCAGAATTGCTGCAAGGCTTAATCACTTGTGTCCTCAATTATTTCCAGCCCCTGGCTTTTGGTCCCATCAGCAGCTCACTTTCCCAGGATCAGATTCTTATGCTTCAACTGAGCTCCAAGTTTCAAATCATTGCAAAAGCACATTAGCTGAAAATCTTCTAAAGGTATGAGACAGTCATTGATTAGCTAAGTGCGTGATTACATATTCTTGACCGTAGGTTAGCACGGTACATTAAGGAAACTGCTGTTGTTATATGGCCATTTTTTACTCTATGAAATAATTTGAACTTTTGAATCTAAAGCAAATTGAATCTATGTGTGTTGAATATTTGAATGATTCACAACAAGACTTCCTATTTTGATGATATGAGTTCACTAACAATAATGTTGACTGTGAAACAGTTTACTTTGCGTCCTTATGCACATCTTGGACTGGATCGAACTAGCATTCCAAGTCAGGTATCTTTGTCAGAAATTATCAATGAGCTGCACTCTGAGATACCGGAAATTTTGGATGCTGTTCAGCACGTTGGTCAGCTTTGGCATGGTTCTGGTGGAAATGATGAGAAAACTCCTGTTGAAGATACTAATGCCATTGTTGAAGAGCCATGGTTCGATGAGAATAATGTTCCAAGTTGTCTGGAAAATATCAGGAGAGATGACTTGGAAATTGTTCTTCTCGGTACGGGGTCGTCCCAGCCATCCAAGTACAGAAATGTCAGTTCTATTTACATTAATCTTTTCTCAAAAGGAAGTATGCTCTTAGATTGTGGCGAAGGAACCTTGGGTCAGCTTAAAAGAAGGTAATCATTGTTGCATTTTGTTCAGCTTATTTTGTGCAAATTAATTTCTACTTCTGACAAAATTGTTGCTAATCGAGTAATAGATATGGAGTCGAGGGTGCTGATGCAGCTGTGAGGAGCCTAAGATGTATTTGGATTTCTCACATCCATGCAGATCATCACACAGGTCTAGCCAGAATACTAGCTTTACGGCGTGACCTGTTACGGGAAGTTCCACATGAACCTGTACTAGTAATCGGGCCGAGGCAGCTTAAGAGATATTTGGATGCATACCAAAGATTAGAAGATTTAGATATGCAGTTCCTTGATTGTAAGCACACAACACAAGCTTCATTGAACGCTTTTCAGGATGTTACTGCAAATAAGGATAACTTTCCTTTGCAAAGTCCAGTCGGTTCCACGGATGGAAACAACTCGCAGACGGATGGAGGAATAGGACAGAAAATCGCCTCTAGTTTATTCGTGAAAGGGTCTCGTATGCAGAGCTATTGGAAGGGTCCTAGTAGTCCAGTTGATTTAAGTGCAGCCATGCCACTTCTAAAATGCTTGAATGAAGTTTTGAGTGAAGCTGGTTTGGAAGCTTTAATAAGCTTCCCAGTTGTGCATTGTCCACAGGCTTATGGGGTAGTCTTAAAGGCTGCAGAAAGGGTTAATTTAGATGGAAAAGTGATACCTGGATGGAAGATTGTTTACTCAGGCGACACTCGGCCCTGTCCTGAACTGATGGAAGCATCTCGTGGTGCAACGCTTCTTATACATGAGGCAAGTTCTAGAACCCCTGTATCGAAATTTTATGATATGTGATGAGGATAGAATGACACTTTATAACAAGTTTTTGTGGTTGTTACAGGCAACTTTTGAGGATAGCTTGGTGGATGAGGCGATAGCAAAAAACCACAGCACAACCACAGAAGCTATAGACATAGGGAACTCGGCTGGAGCGTATCGAATCATCCTTACGCACTTCAGCCAAAGATACCCGAAAATTCCTGTGGTCGAGGAGAGGCACATGCACAAGACTTGCATTGCATTTGACTTGATGAGTGTTAATGTGGCAGATTTGTTAGTACTTCCTAAGGTTCTTCCATACTTGAAACTCCTTTTCAGAAATGAGATGATAGCAGACGAGTCAGATGATGTTGTTACTGTTGAGTCTTAGACAGTCGAGAGGAAATGTTTTGTTTCTAATGTAGCAGAGGCCTAATTCATTCTTTTGATGATCAATATTTACTTGTAATTTAAGTGACTGTTAGCCAAATACAACCACTGGCATATCATACGACTGAGCTAGTTAACGTTAAAATCTTGTAAAGTAGATGATATACATATGATGTACACAAAATAACTGTTAAAAAATTTGTAGGCATAYAAATAATGCTTTCAAACTAACATGAGATAAGATGATCAAYGTTCCAATATGACGGMCAGCTGAAACACTGTTCATGAAAGATGGAATTGTATCTGCAAAAAATTTAGTAATTTGATTAAGATCAATACATTAAGAAATCCTTCAAGGCTTCGAAAGGGCTGGTTAATGGTCATGGTTATCTATGGCTGAACAATCTAGACTTGTTCCAATTTATCACCAGACAAATTGGAATTCCCAAATCCTAGTTCTGTAATGTCCTGCTTTGCCATTAAATTCCTGCAAGGTTCCAACGAAATGTCATTAACACCCATATTCTTACAACTGAGGTATATAAAATAAGAAATAACAAAGTTAAAACGAATCAGAAACTGGACAAAGTAGCAGATAAAAACTTCCACCATTCTGCATGATAGGAGTTATAACTGGCATTGGKACAACGTGATTATGATTATAAACTGGGAATCAATTTATTATGTTTTTTTTTAGAGAAAACCGAACTTTCATTGAGAATAATGAAACAAAATAAAAGGACGTATACAAACATGAGGGAAACTGGGAATCGATTATTGTAATTCAGAATAATTTTGGAAGCAGGATTCATACCAATGTCTCACATAGATTTATTCCCCTTATTTGCCGTAATATAAGCGGAAAAGAAATGACATATACACTAATTCTAATTACCTTCTCCTTTGTACTCGACCAAATGTACCCCAAGTTCCTATGAAAAACATCAAAGAAATTGTATCCGAAAGGAATAGGACCGAATGTTACTAAGTTCCTACCAAAACAATCATAAAAATTGCATCTCCAAAGGAATAGGATACATAGGCTCTATAATATTGCTTCAACTGCCACTAAACCCATATGTTAGCCCTCCAATCCGTTTTACGTACCCTAGGAGAGGTAAAACCCTGGCTAGGGGAATGTAAGAACTGAATTATAAATTGAGGGAGCCAGAGGGCATCAGAATTAGTTATTTAGAATAGGAGGGAAAGGTTCATTCCTAGTTTTCAGGGCATATGAGTTAGTTGGCCAGTAGCTGAGATAGAGAAGGGATGTTGGCATTTTCAATCAGGAACTGAGTGAGCCGAGGCTCCAGAAACTGCAAGAACTTAGTGAACTTGTAGCTACTTAAACTCTTTTAACAAGAGGAAACTGAAGATCTTCAATTGTGTGTTCATGTTGGCCACTCTAGTTCCTAAATTAGAGACTTTAAACATCACATTACTTTGGCATGGTACAAGCTTTTAAAAGACTTAACCGTGCACCTCTGTTTTTTTTTTGTTTTTTTCCCCTAATGATACCACTCTGTTCTACTAGTTTTATTATTATATATTTACTATACCACCCATTAAGCATATATTCGGCTAATATTATTTAATAACCCAGGTTCTCACAAACAAAAGTTCACTAATCGAGAAATGAAAAGCAAAGCCACTCTTGTAATACAAAACATAATATAATATGTCGAGAGTCTTACTTTTCCATACGACATTCAAGGTATTTTTTAGATAAGTGCCTGCATTTTTCAGATTGATGACCAGAGGACTTAAGACAATTGAGGTATTCTTTCTTCTCCTGCAATAAAGCCCAAGCATAAAAAACCAAGCAATGAACACAAGGATACCTTGGGAAAAATCCAAAAACCATACATGCTAATTCTATGAAACAACAAGAGTGCTACAAAAAAATAAAAAAGAAATACCAGGTCGCAGAGGTGCATGTGATCCAAAGGGAAGACTCCTTTTTCTGGGGGTACTGGTCTCAATCCTCTATTGCCTCCAAACGAACCACCTGCAGGAAGATCACAATAGCTCTATCCAAATCAGTTTACCTGAAATTAAAAAGTAAATGAAAAAGAAAATTTTGAATAAAAATGTTTTATTTTCCTTTAATGAAGTATGGTAAATGTTATCTAAAATGGTCATCTTCTTTTCCAGCACCAACAGTGACTAGGAAGGAGGCTTTAAAGGATTTTAACTATAACTTCTCTTAGTAAACAGGGTAGCCATCACATGCTCTGGTGGTAGGGTGTTTCACCATGTTTATATCACGCCAGGTAATAGAACATTTATTTAAAATGTTAGTTCTTCTCTTTCCAAGATTTTCAATCTCACTTCTACGTATCCATGGGATAATAAATGGTACTCAGGATTAATATATAGGAAAACACAATTCACCAAATTTACAATCCAAACCACATTCTAATTGATTGCCTCACAATTCAAATCATCTGAGTTTACCAACCTCCWTTTATATCCACTAAAACTCGAAGAAGAAAGAATATGCTGAAGATGAACAAACTAGTTTTTCCAGGTTCACTAGTTCCAAGTAATATGCATATCACTAACAAAGATAAACATCATTAGAATTAAAGGAGGGGAGAACCATGAATGTAACGTAATGTGCATGAAAGATTCAATTTTAAATAGTCCTTTCACGGATCACAAAACTTACAATAAGATGTTAGATGCAAATGATAGCAATCATTGCCTGAGATACAATGCTATACTAAATCTCACAGAACTAGATGCCAATTATTCAAAACCCCATTAAAAATGAAATAAATTAACAGAATGGTAGCTACCGATCATTTATGCGGATTCCCAATAATCTGGTAAATATGTTCAAGCAACTGACAAGTTTCTGTGGGATTATTGGTAAGAAAAATAGATTGGAAAAGACGAGCATGCATTTTTCCCTTTCAATTCATTACCTACAGTCATCAAGTAATTCACTCAAATCTTCCGACATAGAAGAATATGCTCAACTAGGAGACAAGTAAAACAAACTAGATTCAAACTCCATGATCAACCCATTTGATACAGGGAGAACACGCAGAAATTACAAGACGTAATTGCACATTGTAGAATTACTCCTACACACAAATTGCTCGAACCCGTACACGTTTTAATGAATTGATAGAGACTCCTTATTTAGAAGTAAGATTCTGGAAGCATATGCAGCTCACTTCAAAAATTTTCATTTCCGGATCAGCTTGACGACTGAAAATGGCTGAAATATCAGCTCATAAACAAACCGATCCTGAAAAACTTACCGGCAGAATCTTAACTCACTCAACCACTGACTCGAATAAGAATTTTCGAATTCTACGTCTCCCCGAAATTAACATAAATTCACCGCAAAAGAAGAAATCATCATCTCTCACTTTCCCTCGGGATTGTAAACAATCAAACGAATAATGATGCATATATAGAGTACCTGCACTCATTGTGGAAACTCCTGGTAGCTCAAAATAGAGAATTTCATTCGTCTCATACGGACCACGAGGTCGCAGACTAGCTTGACCAATGAACGGCACCGGTGACTACTATTGGAATGGAGCCGGCCGGAAAAATCAGAGAGGAAGCTCTGCAGCGGCACGAAATGCTACTTTAAAGGCGATGGGCAAATTTGGCATTAGAGGTTTAGAACTGGGCCAGACGCCGGGATTTGGAAAAGCCCAATTGAGGAAATCCAGCCCAACAGCCCAATACGCCATTTTTCTAATTTTATACTATATTGTTAAAAAAAGATAAATTAAAAATTGTAGTAGTTGTTTCTTTTTTCAATACAATTGGAGGTATGGGCTTTGAATCCACARCTCAACAGCTGTGGTTCAAATTCTAAATATCAATKATCGTTGAACTATACTCATGACAGTAATTGTCTATAGTATTCCACCAACTAATATCTATAATTTTAAAAATAATTTTAGATACTTTTAACATAATCATGTATGTGGAAAGTCATTTACGATGGTAGAGCCATAAATTTTATTTTTAGAAGTTTTTATATAATTTTCTTGGCCTAATGGGCAATTATCTTCCTCTTTTAGATATAAATATTTTATAAAGATAATTTTTTTAATCAATAAGAGAAGCTAGAAGATAAAATTAAGGTTAAGAAATATGTTGTCCTTATACTTTCATTTTGTAACAATATAGTCCTACTTTTAAAATTGATAATTATTTAGCTCATCAACTTTAATATGTAATAATTTAGGTTTTATTTTTTAAAATTTATAATAATTTGATCCCTACTATGAAAAATCTCATCAAAATTATGTGTCGATATATAACAATTTAGGCTTTGTGGTTTATAAACACATTTGGTTCCTCATCATTTTATGMGTACGTAAAAATCTTAACAACATTTTTTACGATAAGAACTAAATCGTTACAAAGTTTAAACTATAAACACTAGTACATCAGAAAGTTCAGAAACTAAATTATCACAAATTTAAAAGTTTGGTTACAAATTTTTAATGGTTTCTAATTATGTAATAATGGTTTCCACTTCCTGGACCCAAAAAAGAAAAAAGATGTCAGTCACCAACATACAAATGAACGCAAAAAGAAATGCCTCCATTCTAAGAATGAAGAGTTCATATTTACCTTCTGATGCAAATTCGTACTAAATTCAAAGTATTAATAGGATCAGAATTATGAGAGAGAGATCAGAGGATCATCATTCAGTCATAATCAGTTTACATTGGGAAGTTGTAAACAACCATGGAAGAAGTATAGAGCACAGAAGAGAAGAAGAATGTACAATTTGATTCAGTAAAATGTATATCTGTTTGTCAATAACAAGTGGGATACTCAGGCCAAACAAAAGGGACTTTTTGACATTCATCATAATTTCTATCAGCATTCTCTGAAAAATGAGAGCTGGAGTAACCTCTTGAAGGAGAAAAAAAGAAAGAAACTACATCAAAATCCTGTGTCATGAGTAACCAGCCTCATCTGCAGGCGAGTAAGCAAAATCTGCCGGKTTTGGCTTGGTTTGATTGCTGCCATTATTATATGCATGAGGGTGTTGAATTATCACTATAATTGAATCCTTTAAACTGTCGCCACTGGACAGCGAGGTCGGCTGCATCACGTAAACAAATTGTCGAAACCGATCACAGAAGTAATATGACATTACATGACTTAACTAGCTCAGAGAACTTACCACACCGATGTGCCAATTATGACTGCTAAACTCTCTGAAAGTTGCTGCATCCACCTCCTGCAATTTTTGCAGCATTAGTAAATCCAGAGAATCCTTGTGATGAATTTAGAGGCTCAAGTAACAGTCATCATCGATTTTTCGCCAGCCTTATTTCGCATGCTCCCTCTAATAACCTTGCTATATTACATTTTACATGTCAACAGAAAATTAGGTGAGAAAAAGGGTCTCTGTATTCATTGCCTTTATGTTGGTTTTGTAAGTGTCGAGCCCAACGACAAAACRTTGGTTCTAACTTATTGTACTTGCCCAGTGAGGAAAAATAACTTACAACGCTGTAAATAGGAGGGACAATCCTACTATCTTCAGACTTAACAGTTGGCATAACAGAGAAACGGGGGGCCATGTCTTGTGACCTAAAGATCCAGCTGCAAGATAGAGAGGAAAAGACAATAACCTTCATGAGTGAAATCCTCCCCAAAAMACTATTGTGTAACATACATCTCATAAGAGTGTGATCATATACATACCCAATGTAGCTGAAGATGCAGAATTGGGCCCATTCTCGTACTAACAGACGGAGCCAGTAAGTTTCCAACGAATCGTCCATGTTTAAGAATATCTGGAAACCAAACAGAAGATTGAGGATTTTATCCATGTATAATATGTGAAATGAATTCAATGATGGGATGCTGTATCAAATTAATACCGCAATTTCTGCCATGGCAACGATTTGCATTACTCCCTGGAACTTTCTGCACGATAAATACAGAAGCCGCGAATCAGAGGATCAAATTTTACTATCTAAATAAAATAAGAGTCTAAAAGGTAAATGCATACTTGAACATCTCGTATTTCGTTTGAATAGCATCATGCATTGCTTGAACATCTTCCTCCATAATAAAACTGAGTTGTTCTTGCAATAATAGTATATTTTGATATATATGTCGGAAGATCACATAGAAGGAAATGCAGTAATTAATCAGAAGTATGACCTGGATCATATGTAGGAAGCTGAGATTAAGAATCAAGGGAAGTAAACTTGTACAGCAGCAATCATTTTTTAAGGATAATATTAACTGCTGAGAGTTGGAAAGGCTACAGCTCAGTAAACTCACAGTGAAGTAAGGTATGGAAGCTCGGTAACCGATAAGTGTCAAATAAAAGATACAGCCAATAGAAGCAGTTGTTCGCTGCTCAGCAACTGATAGGTGCTCAGACATGATGCAATAGCCATGAGAAATAAGTAAAAAAGACACAACAGAAGCTGTTTGAAAGAGCACCCCAGTTACATATACCCCAAATGACATCCATAAGGAGCATGTCTGAATATAAAAGCATGAATACCTGCAATTGTGTAGTAATTAGAAGTTCAGATAGGCCTAGAGAACATAAGAAAGACTAATCTCATTCCAAATTGTCCGATTAAGTGAAGATTGCACGTTGAATTCGAATAGTTTCATTGCTCCAATTCGCAAAGAAAATGAAAGGAAAGAAGGGTATTGAAAAATACATTTAAACGTACCAGAAAAGGAAAGATAAAGTTAGTTGCAAGGCTTTAAGAAGAGGAACGGAGGCAAGTGACCACTGCAAGTTATTGGTCTGCCCTCGAGAAACAGCAACCGGAAAAAGAGAGGAGAAAAATGTCATAATTGATTCAAAATCCACACCTCAAGCTACAAATATGATGATTGAAAAACGAGAAGTAAACGCTAAAGATATAATTGTCAAAGAAGGAATACACATGTAGTTAAGTCAAAAGAACTCGATCATCACTTTTTTAAGGCGAAAATTTCTGATTCCGTAACAAAAAGGGGGAAAACGAATTAATTATTGTTGGATTGCGGAGCAATGAATTGCTTACGAAACAAGACGAACGACTTACTCGGAAATCAAGTAGAGTCAAAACCGTAACAAGTGATAAAATAAAAAAATCTACGCCCAAAAACAAATATAATTTTATCGGCAAGTAATGACTGCATCGAGACCGTCACATGAAGAACAGGCAAAACTTTGTCTAGTTTGCCAAGAAAATCACAGCGAGGAGCGAATCGAAATGGTCAAAATTAGACTCAGTTGATGCAGAAATTGAACATTCACGGCGTTTACTTGAAGAATTCACAATGGAAAACAGCAACAAAAAAGTGCATCAAAATCCAACAAATCAACTCTTAAACTAAACGAATTTTGAAACTCTAAACGTTGGTTCAAGCACGCGATTCCAGTCTATGAAAGTTGAGCAAAAAAAAATTTGAACCTGCAAGTGACGATTCTTGTAGGTGTTAACGGTCCAGGAGCAGGCGGAGAGGAGCCAGACGAAGGAGAAGGCCAAGTAGAGAGAAGGAAGAGGGCGATACGACTCGTCGACTCCGACGTGATACGAGTCGACACTGTCGGACACGTTCATCGTTTCGAATCAAAAAGAAAAAAGGAAAAAAAAAAAAAAAACTTCAATTAAGATGGAGCAACCTTTTCGGTCGTGGTAAGAAGTGGGCACTTTTGTGCGCTTTATATGCAGCAATTCAAATAAATACTCAATATTCCAAAAAAAACTCAAATAAATATTTAATATTCCAAAACAAGAAGGAAAAAAAACTCAAATAAATACTCGATAATCCAAAAAAACTGAAGAAGACTCATTTTTGCATATTTATTTGATAGCGTGGAAGTTTGAAAACAAATTTTAATATTTATGAAAAAAAAACGTGCATTCTAAAATTTCTCTCAAATTTTAAACACGAAATTTTCGAGAAAAATAAATATGTCCTGATTAASTGGAAAATAGGGTATGACTCATGAGTAGAAGAAGTTTATAYTTTATGGAAATGATTCGATGTATTGCGACTAGAAAGTATTGTTATGAACCAACTAAATTATTGTTATATGAACCAACTATGCATCCACCCTCCTCTTTATTAACACTATTTCAATATTTTCATTCCTATAATATTTGAAGAAGAAAATATTAACATTTATTGTGAAATGTTCATTAATATGAGTGATTAAAGACATTAGAGTTTCATTTATTAATATAGGTCCTAAAAAAAGTATGTTTTTTAGTTTAATAAAACAAACATTAAAATTCGTTAATTAATTCTATTAATATCTATTAATTAATTTACTGTATGGTAAATTTTTTTTTTAAATATCTATTAACATTGACATTTTTAAAAATAAACAACTAAAGGATTCAATAATATAAATTCATTTAGATCTAACTTTATTTAAAAGTTGTAGGGTCTGAAATGTTATAARAAATAATGTAAGAAATGTTGCTAGGTATTAAAAAAAATTGATAATCTAAAAAACATATTTAAAAAAATGAAATAAAATTTGGTAATCAACTTATTGAGTTATTGTTGAGATTACACACAGAAAATGTGGGCAGGTCTGTCGGGAAATGAGGTTGGTGGTGTGATGTATTAACCACTCTCCCCAAATTCATAGATCTTTCGGAACATCAACTCCATCACCTAAAGATTGCTRTACCCTAATTTTGTTTTTCTCTTTAAAAAAAATTAAATTATATCTTAAGCGATTGATTTTGGCCGTGTTCGATCAGAAAATTGACCAACACTGCGAACAATTCGAATTAAGAATGACTCGATAGATGAGCTCGAAATAGATGGTACAAGTAACTTGCAAAACAGAACACATTCCGATGCTAAAGTCAGTAGMTAGTCAAACTAAACGAGAGAGAATTTAGTATGTGCGTACCTTGGAATGAGGTGAATGGATTCTATTATTTATAGGCAAGATCCTCGATCATGTTCTCGACAAGGCCTCAACAGGTCTTTAAAATTGGCGTGAATCGCGGCGTGATATCGTGAAATCTGTCGAAGATCGAGACTTAGACGAAGTAAAGTTAATTGGTTCAACCATCAAATGGAAACGAGATTTCAAGTAATCCTGGTTGGTTTGGCCTCTATAGATCGGTTCAGACTGTGGGACGAAACCGAGTTGATGAAACTTGAGGCTTGTCATCATAAGCCAGTATAACTTTGAACTTCCAATGATAAAGTGCCACGTGCATGTTGAAAGTCACATCCGCCAACAATCCCATTCAAATATTTGATGGTACAAACATTAAATTGACAGAATTAAAAGATGTAAGAATTAGATTGACACACAATCTTATTACAAGTTTCTATACACTCTTTGAAAGTTTAGATATATAAAATTTAGTAATTTTACTCGGAACACAACACTACAAATGTGAGATATTAATTCAGACTTTAATTCGTTGTGATAATATTACTAATGCATCATATTTAATCTAGATTAATTTAAATTTTTATATAGTAAATTAAATTAAAAGCTAATGTTGAAATACGATTGTGATATTAAATTCGAAATTGTTCTTAAAAGAAAAGAAATTGAAGTTGAAATGTAAGATGGAAGGTTACATTAATAGGCAATTTATCAAATGAATTAACTATGTAATTATAACTAGTCCGCACGTAATAACAATTAAATCTCAACCTGGTTCAATTTATTAAGAGATATATTTTTTATTAAATGATTTGGGATTACGAATAAAGAAAATAATTGCAATGATTTTATAAAGTTAAAAAATAACTGACATTAAAATTTAGAGGGCAGAGTCATAACAATTCTTACAAAATTGAAAGTTATAATATTATTATTTAACCCAATTTCTAAAGTGTTTTAATCTTAACAGTAAGGTTCTGTGTGTTGGCTGAGAATTATTCCGACGGCACATCACCTTCATAGGACGTGCAGCACATCTTACACTTTTTATTTTTGGTCGCTAACCACAAATAATATACTGATATTAATTACATAACATGCATATTCTAATTTTTAAATTCTTTTTTAGTTTAATAATTATAGAACCATTTAGTTCAACAATTACGAAGTAGGAGATCAAACCTAGTTAATAATTGTCTTATTTGAATTGGTTCTTCGAAGACGTATTTTTTTTCTAAACAAAAATAGACTTTGATATTAATCTCGGCCACATGTATTATTTAAATTGTTAAAAGAAAAAATTAAACCCCCTTTCTTGGTATTATTATTATTATTATTATAAGAGGAAAAACTATGGATATGTAATAAAAAATTAGTTTAAGGGATGATATGAATATATAGTATTAGGTGAACAAACTTAGTAACAAACTCAGTTTGAGTTTCCTTTTGATCTAACTTCTAATCCATTCAACCATAAATTCAAACCCATTAGAAGCATTAAATAAACAGAAAAAAGTCTCATCAATTTTCAAATGCTTGTTCAGCAGTCATGGTGTTATTGGTAGAGTAGGAATTAGGATATACCCATTTCAAAATTGTATTCAAAGAGTCAAAAGTTCTTTTGACAATAAGAAAGAACATGCAACTTCTCATGTTTTTTTGTTTGACTTTTGAGGTGGGCAATAATTAGATGGTAGTTTTTTACTAGATTTACTACACTTTAAATAACATTATTCATCTGCAACCATATTTTATGCGGATCATTATTAAAAGATTTCAAATTTGTTACCATAAAGAGACTTGAGAAGGAAAAACGGGAGAAAGTTTGTGTTGAATCATGTTAATATTTTTTTTAAAAAAAAGTTAAATTATAAATCCGACCTTTAAATCTTGGTAGCTGTATCTATTTAATATATGAGTATGTGATTCTTCCTCTAATAAATCACTGTCTTCTGTATCATTGTTTTACTGTTGATATGAATATGAATATTGACTGTGTCAATCATATTATCAAGAATGTGAGGATTTGAATGTATAGTTCAAATAAGTATGATTAATTAGATAAAATAAAGGTGAATATGTCAAAAAAATATTGGTTTTCAATTTATCATGTCAGACCACGTGGTTGAATTTTTCCCATCCAACCCAAATCTATCCGACCAATTTACTTTTTTTTTTCCACCATATCTAGATCATTGGTTATTTAAATTAGCATGTCACGTCAACATTTAAATAATAGTATTATTGACCATGATAAATAAAGTTAAAACAAAAAAAAATCCCGAATGTAATTAGAACTTCTTAAATTTCCTCGACTAAATAAAGACCTGCCATAAATTTTAAGCCTGTAACTTCTAATTTAACCCCCAAGTTAAGCGAGCATAACTTGGAGGTAAATACCAAGTTATGCTCGCTTTGGCCAAGATTCTCTAATCTTTGCTGTCTTTAAGTAGCATCACCATATTTTTTGGCTAAGGTCATTGCATTCCTTGTTTTAGATCTTTGTCAATTATTATATATTTCAAAAATAATGTAAGCTGTCATTTTTTAATCTAAATAATATTGATATAAAAATGAATACTACACTTTTTTTATAAAGGAAAATGAATATTGAATATTACACTTAAAAGATTCTACATTTTCTGGTCAACCTAATGAATGTTATTGTCTTAAAAAAATGGAGTAATAAATAAATGTTCTCTCCTTAAAAAGCAAATAAAAACGGAATTTCATCATCATTTAACAAATAAAATTAAATTAAAAAAAATAAAAAAAGGACACTGCCGGATTGTAATTAAAGATTTATTTATAAAATGAGAGGGCGTTCAGGAACCATATATATATTATTTTTTACCTTATTCTAGGCCTCAAAATTTTAAAGTAACACTAAAACTTAAATTCACGATTAATAAAATATCAAAATGGTATAGATTAAAATTACTTTGGTAACTTGAACTTAGCTTAACTGATTAAGTCGAATTAAAAGATCGTGAATTCGAATTCTCACTCCCACATTTATTAAAAAACCACTTAATTAGGTATAATGTTCAACAACTCACATATCATAAATAAACATGAAACTAAATACATTAGGAGTGTTTTTTTTTTATATAGAAAAACGTGGACTATAGCATAAATAAATTGACTACAAATTTAAATACTATTTTTGTCTATTGATTTAAGTTTACAATTACATCCATTTTGTACTAATTTGGTCCATATTTGTAAAATTTTGTATGGAGTGAAAACTTATGACTACCTTCTAGAAAATTTAATGACTTAAAAATTGTAATCGCAATAAATGATATAAAAATAAGAATAAAAAGATTAAAGTGGTCACTTTTTTAAATACAAGAATTAAAATAAACTAAAATCAAAATCACACCTAACTAAAAAAATAGTATTTAAAAACTTCCTTATAGGATCTTATAAGCAATTATTGTTGTATCATGGTACTCTTTTTTTTTCTTTCTTTCTTTTTTTTTTTGGGTAAAGAAAAGTTCTCGAGGGCCGAGGTTAAGAATTAATAATAAGAAAAATCCAACAGCCAATAGGAGCGGGACTAAAACTAAAGGACAGAGACCCTAAAAATGGTGGGTTTGGGTCCTACCTTCTTCCATTATTTTTTAATTCCCTATGAAAATGATCATATATCTTAGATAAAGTTAGGTAATATAGGTAATTCTCAATTCCCGAGATCTTTATTTATCTACTTTAATTATTTTTCGAAATTCGAAAAAAAAATAAAATTCTTAGTCATGGGAAATTTTTGTATGAACTTTTTTTGTCTAAATATGTTTGCAATTTATTCTCTTATTTATTTATTTTTTTTAATTATTTTAGGTTCTGATGCTTTACAAATTGTGTTTGGGGGTAAAAATATCTTGGACACGTGGAGGATGCTCGTTGGTGTTCAAGGAATAAAATATCTCAGGTCCACCTTGAACCTGTCGAGGAGGTTGGGTTCGCCCATTGACAAGGCTAAGTATAAAAAGCCCCGGTTCGACCTGGACGGGTTCGATCCGCTAAAAAACCCGACAGGTTCGACATAAAAAAGACAAAGGTAACCGCCGATCGTGAGTACTATCAGATCCATCACCTATAAATGGAGGGCCTTATTTCATGCTCAAGTATCGAATCTCATCTCGAACTTAATATTGAGCCCGACCTACACTGACTTGAGCGTCGGAGAGTTTGTCCTCTTGTGCAGGTTCACTCGTGGGTTCAGGTCGAGCCGGGGACTGGGTTCGAGCTAAGTTCGTGAAATCCGCATGTGCAATTCCTTGCATAAACAAATTGTATCACTTTTGTAGGATAATGTAAAAATTGCGAAAATAACTTATATTATATGATGTTTAGTGAGAATTAAAAAAAAAATAGATGAATAGTTTAAGTAGTTTATAAGAGAAATTTCTCCAAATTTATAAGAAATGGGTAGAAATTTCGACTTTTTTAAAGTAACTTAAATTCTCGTATAATTTATGTAAACCTACTAATTATTATCTTATATAAATTTGTCATTTACCAACTTTAACATTGACCAAAGAAACATAGTTTAACTGTAGTTAGTTAAAATATAAAAAGATTAAATTAGAAGAAAAAAGTCAAATATTGCATTAGAATATATATTAAGCCATAGATTTTATAACTACTCCTTAAATCGATAACCACATGCCACCATGTGTACTAAAAATAAATCATGTCAACATTATTTAAGAGTACTTGAGATAGAACACGTGAAATAAAATACTAGACAAATTAATTGCACACTAGACGAGAATCATTAGGAAAGCATGAATACTTTGTCTTAGTTGGTCTTCATTGTTTACGTCCACACAAAAAGAAGTATAAATATTAAAATTTTATTCAATAATACTCAGTCAACACATTGATGATTAAGCCAATATAAATATACTTAACAAGAATTAATACATTCTATTTCGAAAAAAAAATTAACACATATTTGATCATTCTTTTGAGGTCGGAGGTTCAAACCTCTCTACCACATTTTCTCCGTCTCTTGAGGTCGAAGGTTCATTAATAACTTTTGTTGATTTGGTGTTGTATTTGTGTTTTGAGTGGTTAAAGTTGTTTTATAACTTATTAAAATGTTAGTGGTTAAAACTCTCTTTAATGGTTAAAATTTTCGGTCAGGAAGGACAAACTCTTTGGACCAAAATGCTTTACTTTTTGTCTCACACTTTTTAAGATTCACAATTGCCTAAAGGTTTTTATATATCAAACTTATTTAGTAGATTTGTAAAAGATATTTAAAGTGGGTTCCAAATATCTCTCTACACGTCAAAACGAGCATAGTTCAACCTCCAATAAAAAAGTTATGAGTTCGATTCCCCACCTCTACATGTTATACTAAAAGAACTTTTTTATATTAGATTAAATTACTTTCAAAGCAGCGGAATACGTATTATATTATATAACAAGAAATCTTATCAAATTCATTTCTATTTTTTCAAAATAATAGGGAAAAAACGAAACAGTCAGCAAACATAATTCTATTTTTCGCTTATTAAATAAAAAAAAATAGAAATATAAAAGTTACGGAGCAAAGTATTTTTATAGTAAAAATTTGTGCCGCCGAGTCAGCAAGTGGTGCTGGAATTGAAGTATTTTTTCAAAATTTTCCGTTGTTTGAGCGTCACTTTGCAACAGCCGCCCAAACACACTCTCTTCAAAATCCTCTCTCTCTCTCATATCCGCCATTGCTATATTTGCAAGAGCTTCAAACTATTGAAATTACAAACCACTTCAGAAATGGCAAAGCCAAAGAATTCAGACCCCCAAACCATTCCGGCGGTTTCCGGCGCCGGGGCGGTTCAACCGGACCGGCCGGCTGCGAAGAGAGCCAGGGATTGCAACAGACATCCGCTCTTCAGAGGCGTTCGCAAGAGAAGCTGGGGAAAATGGGTGTCGGAAATCCGGCAGCCGCGGAAGAAGTCCCGCATTTGGCTCGGCACGTTCCCGACACCCGAAATGGCGGCGCGTGCGCACGATGCGGCCGCGCTTAGCATCAAAGGCGACTCGGCCATCCTCAATTACCCCGAACTCGCCCAGTTCTTGCCCCGCCCGGCCTCGCTCACGCCTCACGACATTCAAGCCGCCGCCGCCAAAGCTGCCGCCATGGTCAATTTCAAATCCACCTCATCGCCGTCGCCGTCGGAGGAGGAGGAGCTGAGTGAAATCGTCGAGTTACCCAATATAGAAGACGATTTTGCCACTGAGTCACAGAGCGAGTTTGCACTGGTCACTGAGTCATGGGAGTGGTGGGAGTGCGTCGCAATGCCGTTGGAGCTGGCGGCGGAATTCGGCGGGGATTTTTATTCCAACCAGACGACGGCGGAGGAAAATTTATTCCCGGGTTGCTTTTACGGCGCTCTGTGGGATTAATAACCGCCGCTTGCCGGGTAAATCGGTGACATTTTCAAGCGGTAAAAAATATAAATTCTTCTTTTTTATTAAAAGATTTGAGGTACTTTAGTTAATAGCCACTAGCAAGCGAGGTTATTTTATTTTACTTCCACTTCTGTATAAATATTATACTATTTTGTTTTCTTTTTTCTGCTTAGAAATAATTTAATTAATATTTGTAAGATATAGAAAATGTATTGAAATTAAACACGATGATATATTTATTATTTATTATTTAGGTTGTCTAATTGGTGCCCTTGTGATGTTATTCTTCAATTATTTCCAAAAACAAAGACAACCAATAATTTAGATCAAGATATTTGTTATTTCTCTGTCAATAATACTAATAATTGATTCAATGCGACATAAAAATATTATATTTACAAGTTTTTGAAATTTTGTATTATTTGATGATATTTTTAAGACTCTTATTAGAATTTAATCTAAATGGAAACATGTTTCCTACTCCTTGTCAATTTAATTTTCTTTATTGTCATAGTGAGTATACTTCAACGGTAATTGGTATATATCTCAAACTAAAACGTCGTGAGTTTAATCTATCACTCTCACATATTGTATTTAAAAAAAAATATCATTTTCTCTATTGAACTAGAATGATAATAAAGGAAATTCACTGGGAATTCATTTTCATTTTTCACGTTAAGTCATTAATGTTTGTTTTACTATTTTATTTGTTGAAATTAAAATAACGTTGACCAGTCTAAAAATACAAGACCCATGGGAATGATTTATTATTATTATTATTATTATTATTTTGAGAAAGTCATTGGGAATAAAGTTTTAAAATTATATTATTGTTTTGCTATAACACTCATGGCTTTGGTAGCCAGTAGCATTTTCTTCTTTCTGGAAATTGGAAGTTTGATTAAATTTTCAAATAATTCATTTAAGTTTAAATCTCATATTTTTCGTAAAATTTTAAAAATTTTTCATTTTTATCTCAAAATTTTCAGAATATCCATTTTAATTTATGAACTAATTTTAGAAACCATGTTAAGTCACTCGAATTTTCTGGTAAAGTTCAGACTAAAATAAATTTGAAATTTTAAAGACTAAAATGAACCATTTATAAATAAAAAACTAAAAAAAAAAATTATTATAAAAAGACTAAAATAAAGAAAATTTAAAATTTAAACCATTTATTTATATTTTACCTACTAGTGGAAAGTGAAAAGTATATTTTATTCGTTGAAGGATAAGTCCATTTTATGAAAAAAGAATCCAATTTTTTTAGAAAAATAAAAATTGTGGGACTAGAACTATAAGATAAGATTGAGAATAGTAGAGAGAGGAGAGAGAGAGAGTACCGTTGGGTTTGGGATGAAGGGATGAAGGATTATTGGTGAAGAGGGGATGGGAATTTGCATTTGTCAAAATGTACCGTTAGTGGGACCCAGACTTTACCGATAAAGACAAAAAAGGAGAATTTGGAGGAAATTATTAATAAATTAATACACCAAAAAAAAAAAAATTGGATTTTAAAATTTTTAAATTTTAAATTAAACGTTTTCGCTATTGGACATGGGATGAGGTGGCACGATTAAGTTAAAGACGCGTTTGGTTTGCCGCTTTCTAATCGAAAAAAATGAGTTTTGTTTTCTTATTTCAATTTTAGCTCATTTTAGTTGGTTATTATATATTTGAAGTGTATTGTATTTTTTAAGTATAATTATTTTGGTTATTTTTTATTTATATAATTTTTCTATCCAAATTTCAGTACAAACACTGCCTGCCGTAAATAAATTTTTTGAAATAGAATTATAACTTTGTATTAAAAGATTTTCATTGTTTATATAATTTATATTATATATTTGCAAACAATGATGAAAATGATGGCTTTTAAAAAAGTACATGATCAAAATATAATATTGAAAGTACATTTACTCAAGCAAACAAAAGTTGAAAATATATGAATTAAAATGTAAATTTTAGGAGTACAGATACCAAAACGAATCAAAACTTAAAATATAGATATTAAAATAATAATTATATTTATGACACAATCATAGTGGGAGGATTTGAATATTCAACTTCAAGTAGAGAGGAGTATATGTTCAGACTACTGAGTTATTATTATTATTATTATTTTAATATCCGTGAGAATCGGGTCAGCTTACGTGCATTTCGACTAATCTCACCGAGCAACCGCCTGACCCTACAACATTTGGTGTCGGGAAACATATAAGAATTACTAATTCTAAAGTAAGTGGCTATCATGAGATTTGAAGACCGTAGTTGACCACTGAGTTATGTCGCAAATCTAACTCTCTTTTAAAAACATAATCTCTATCTTTTAAGTGAAATTTAAACGACTAATTAGTAGATAATATTACATATTATGTTTCCTAAGGTAGAGGCGGATCAAGTGGCAGTTATTTCCTAAAGTCTCTCTATATCTCTTGATTCATGCATTATATTGAAATTTGCTTTGGCTATGGACTTTTATTCGTGCCTCGCACGTTGTGGAAATTGTAGAACCTCAATTGCTAACTTAAAAAAAAAAAAAAAAAATCTAAAAGCACTGAAAGGTTGTTTCCATTACTTACAAATTGGAAAACAGTTTTAAAAAATAAATATTCACTTAATCTATTTCAAAACAATTGGAATTCAAATTGTATATCAAATAGGCCTAGACCCCTAAACCTAAAGGAAATTGGGATATATTATCCTCCTATAAAGCATTTTGGATTTTTAACCCTCTTTTTTTTAAAAAAAAATTTTATTTGTGACCCATTTGATTCTAATGGGGGATCTTTTCCACTTTTTGTCTTTCTAAAATTATCAAAATATCGTTGTTTGTTGTCAATTAAATCTCGGACATTTAATGAAATCTTTTTAATTAAATCCGGACAAATCTTATGTAATTATCTAAATTTAATTTTCCATATTAAACAATTAATATCTAATATTCAATTTTGCAATTTCAACTTTTTTTATCATATTAAATTTTTAATTAATTATTTGACAGATTTGTGAAAGGAATTGATTTTCAAGTTTAAAAGTTGGATTTTTTAAATTTGTAATTGATTATTGCGACAGATTTCGGGAGTGAATAAGGATTGAAAAAAAAAATTATTTTTTATGAGGGGGAAAGATCGTTGATTTTGAAACATGAGGATACCACAATAATTTAACGTTTAAAAATTATGAAAGGGGTAAAAAAAATAAGGGGATGTGGTCATAAACTAGTTTTTTTTTTTCTAAAAGGGAATCATAAATCCAAAATGGATCATTGAATGGGCCGGTCATATATCCCAATTTCCCGTAAACCTAACGCACACAACAAATACTAACTTATTTCATTATATGAGAAATTAAACCTTTAGTATAGCAAAAACATATTTGATGTATAATTTAGTTAAGTGCAAAAAATGAATGTTTAGTCATTACTATTCATTTTAAGTTTATAAATATTGCAAGTTTGAATTTTCACTCTTTTTTTTTTTTCCTTTTTGAAAATATAGTAGTCTGTCAAGTGGAGTAGGTAATAATATTTAAAAAAAAACATAAACAACAATTAACCACTAATTAAGCATAGCGTTAATATATATATCATCCATTAAAAAGTTGGAGGTTTAAATCAAATATTGGACCAATCTATAATTCCACTCAACACAATTATTTGACACGTAATCAGTCAGCATTAAAACTGGACAAATGCTTTTAGATTATTTATAATATTGGAAATATGCATTTATTAAATAATTTACATTTAAAATTTTCAAGCAGAAGCGCCCATGGCCTAATGGATAAGGCGTCTGACTTCTAATCAGGCGATTGTGGGTTCGAGTCCCACTGGGCGTGCATTTACATTCTTCAGCCAATACTTGTAGGCTTTTTTTTTTTTAATAATTTTCTTTTGCCAATACTTCTAGATTTTTTTTAATAATTTTTGTTTTTTGGCCAATATTACTTCTATCTTATGGTCGTCATTTTTTATCCCAATTATCTCTGTTCACTTAAAAAAGAAAATTAGAATCAAGTATATTTTTTTCCTTTTTTTTTTTCTTTTATGAATTAAAGTATACTCATTTATTATTTTTAACTAATTAGTAATAACAATTTAATTAAAACAATAACGAATTTATTTGCCAATACTTTCTATCTCACCTTCTTCATTTCATATGAATTAGTTCTGTTTATTTATATATATAAAAAAGTTTAAATAAATAAGAGATAAATATAAATATATTATTATAATAATACTTTTTAATAAATATAAAAGAATAAATTTTAATTGATTTTATTACTTTTTATTGATACTAAATATAGATTAGAGTCCATTACAAACGTGTAAGACTTTAATTAATTACAAATACAATATTATATTTATTTTTTTAATTAAAAATATTTATAAATTTTATTATTATTGATAGTTAATATTTTTAATTATAACCATTTATTTAGTATTAACCAATAATAAATAATAAAAACTAAATAAAATTACATCAACTAAAAGAATGGTATCGGTTATAACAACATAACAATATTTATAAAATAGTATTGAATTTGATTGTTCTAATTTTTCTACTATTTAGTCAATGTGTTAATGTTGTATATGATATTATAAAACAAAAGCGCCCATGGCCTAATGGATAAGGTGTTTGACTTCTAATCAAGCGATTGTGGGTTCGAGTCCCATTGGGCGTGCAAAAATTTTTAATTTTAAAATTTACTTTTTCTTTCCATAACATTTAAATTTCAACATTTATCAACATTAAATTAAAAATAAAAAATTTTGAATAAAAAAAAAAATAAGAGATACACATATTAATAATTTTTTCATGGTAAGAAAAGATGGTGACCATTTTCATCTTAATTTACTCGTTGAATGTTTGGCTTCGCTCCTATGTATCTCAAAATATTGAAGACGAAGTTGCAATTATTGAGTGTTATTTATTTATTTATTTATTTTTCTCTCCTCTTTTTCCAATCTATTTTCCGACATTATTGTGCAACCCCAGTCCCCCTCCTGTAAATTACAACCACGACCAAACAAATTCCCGTGTGAGCCAAAAGTCAAACTCAAAATTTTCCACAGCTTTCCCAACTTCATAGGCAACATATATTGAAGGCCACTCCTAAACTTCAACGAAAATACCCATTTCCTTCACCAAAATCAAAATAATTGAATCCAAGCGTCAAAAAATCTCCACACACTGACTTGAAAACACGAAACTTCCAAGAATTTCACCTTTAATTTATGCACTACGCCCTCAAAAGAGATATAAAATGCCCATTTTTGCTTTAAACTCCTCATATCTCTAGGTTCTTCTCTCCATCGAAACAATACGGCCGTTTTAAAAGCCTCTTACAGACGATTGAGATGAACTCGACGACCCAAACCGACGATGTTTCGAACACGGGGTTGCATTTGACATCTAGATTGGGGCATGTGGACATGGCATGTCCTGATATGGTGGTGGCTGAGAACAAGAAATTGGAGACGCCATTTCATGAAGCTTGCCGCCATGGACATATCAATGTCGTGAAGATGCTTCTTGAGGCCAATCCTGACGTTGCTTGCAAACGCAACTCTGAGAACCAGACTCCATTTTTTCTTGCTTGCTCTAATGGCCGCCTTGATGTGGTTGCCTATTTACTGGCTAAGCTTGGAATCTCCAGCTGTTTGGAAGACGACGACGCTCTCGCTCTCGACCAATCTTGTATTCACGCCGCCGCATCGAATGGATACACAGGTAGAAATGCAAAAACAAAAAGTTAGTTTTTCTCTTTTTTTTTTTCTTAATAATCAATGAGTTGTCGAGTATTTACTGACAGATGTTGTGAGAGAGTTGATCAACGCTAGTCCGAAACTGGCTCACGTGGCGGACTCAAATGGAAACTTGGCGTTGCATATAGCGTGTAGCAAAGGGCAGAGAGAGATGGGTTGGACTCTCCTCCAGCCAGATGTGAACATGGCCATGCAATACAACAACAATGGCTACACGCCCCTGCACTTGGCCGCCATGAATGGCAAAGTTGCAGTCCTCGAAGACTTCGTGTCAACCGTGACTTCGTCGTTCTACCACTCCACCAAAGAGGGGGAAACCATCTTCCATCTCGTCGTTCGGTACGGCCGCTACGATGCCTTTATTTACTTGGTCCATGCCTGGAATGGCACCAATCTCTTGCAATCTCGTGATCGCTACAACAACACTGTTCTTCACCTTGCCATCGCCGGACAACGTCATGAGGTAAACTCACAAATAAATCACTTATTCTTCACATATTTTAAACTAACGCTAAGTTAAAAAAATTAAAGGGATAGAAATCGCTCATAAGATCCATACATAATTTATCTTTCTAAAGATGAGAGAGATGACACGTGTGAACGTTAAACTAGATGCAACGTATATATATGTCCATGTTATTGAGAAATTAGTTTTTTAATTCTCTCATACTTTCACTTAAAGCTATATTATTCTAGCTATTTCATTTAATGTCCAAGACCATATTAAGCACAAAACAAAAAAAATTGAGTGAAGAAGGGACATTTCGTATACACAACCTTAAGAATTTTGACCCCTATTAAAAACTTTATAAAAAAAAAAACATATTTTTGAAATGAACATATTTTACTTAAAATATTATTTAGAAATTTCTCAATTTCTAACGGAATCCAACTCAAAACGGCGACAGATAGCGGAGTATTTGATCAGAAAAACAGGGGTGGAGCTAAATTCCCGAAACTACAGAGGCCACACCCCTCTCGACGTCCTCGATCAACAGGCCCGCGAAACTCCCGAAAATCGCCGGATCGAGAGCCTACTAATCAAAGCCGG